ATCCACCTGCCTCAGTAACTTATCACTGTTGATGTTGACCTTGATCACCTGGCTGCGGTAGTGCTGTGAGGTTTCTTCACTGTCAAGTCACTTTATTTCTGCCATTCTATTCTATCTTGTTTGGAAGGAAGTCACTATGTGCAGCCCACTCCTACAGAGGGAGAAGTTAGGCTCCTGTCCTTGAAGGGAGAGTATCAACATAAATTGTTTGGAATTCCCCTACCTAGGAGATGTATCTGTTCTCTTCCATTTACTTATCTTTTTATTCATTCATTCATTCGTTCAATCATCTATTTATATTAGTATGGATTTGTGGATATTGTGTCCCTTTGTTATACCTCCACCAAGGTAGGGTTTGCTTTTGTTTGGGTTTTAGCAGTTTATTTAACTTTCTGGTACTATAAGATGCCCCACGCTCATCCTGTATATTTCTGCCCTAGTCCTAGAGTTGGGTATTTCTTTGTTTTAATTGTTTTAAATTTTACTTTATGTTCTGGGATACATGCGCAGAACATGCAGGCTTGTTCCATAGGTATACATGTGCCATGGTGGTTTGCTGCACCCATCAACCCACCATCTAGGTATGAAGCCCTGCACACATCAGGTATTTGTCCTAATGCTCTCCCTCCCCTTGCCCCCCGCTCCGCAACAGGCCCCAGTGTGTGATGTTCCCCTTCCTGTGTCCATGTGTTCTCGTTGTTCAAGTTGGGTATTTCTCTAAGGATCCCTGGTTCCTTTTATTAGAAAATAGTATGAAAAAGTGAAATCTAAGCACTTGGTATACATATTGCCACTGGGGTGTGGTTCGTTCTAGGCCCTCTCAGCTGACAGAGCAAGGTAGTATATATGTGTATACCAACCTGTGTACATACACATATCTAGAGTTATTTCTGTATGTGATCATCTGTATCTTTATTAAGCTAAACAGGTGTTCATACTGATGACTTCAAGTATAATCTGTGGATGAATGAGACGGAACTAGATCACAGATCTAATGGGTCATTCTAGCCTCATTTCTTTGCTCATCTAGAAACTTGTATCAGCTTTTCCTCCACCATCTTTGGTGAGGTTGTTTCATTCATTTGTAATATAGTTAGATTCTTTTTGTCACCGTCTTCACTCTGTCCTAACCTCCTAAATGATTTTTTAACACTTTACATACCTTAAGGTTCACACATTGTGTTGTAAAGTTCTACGGATCTTGCCCAGTGCATAATGTCACGTATCCACCATTACAGTATCATACAGAATAGTTTCACTGCCTAATAAATCCTGTGTGTTTCACCTATTCAGAGGATGTAAGCCCCCCCACATCCTCTGAACCCCTGGCGCCATTTATTCTTTTTACTGTCTCTGTAGTTTTACCTTTCCAGAATGTCATAGAATTGGAATAATACAATATGTGACCTTTTCAGACTGGCTTCTCTCACTTAACAACATGCATTTAAACTTTATACATGTCTTTTGTGGCTTGCTAGATTATTTTATCACTAAATGATATTGCATTATGTGAATGTAGCACAATTTTTTTTCATCCTTTTTCCTATAGGAAGACAACTTGGTTGCTTCTATTTTTTGGTGATTCTGAATAAAGCTGTTAAAAATATTTGCTTGTAGGTTTTCATATGGACATAGTTCTCAACCATTTGGGTAAATACCTAGGAGTATGATTACTGACTTGCATGGCATAGCTATGTTTATCTTTTTTTTTTTGAGACGGAGTTTCACTCATGTTACCCAGGCTGGAGTGCAATGGCGCGATCTCGGCTCACCGCAACCTCCGCCTCCTGGGTTCAGGCAATTCTCCTGCCTCAGCCTCCTGAGTAGCTGGGATTACAGGCACGCGCCACCATGCCCAGCTAATTTTTTGTATTTTTAGTAGAGACGGGGTTTCACCATTTTGACCAGGATGGTCTCGATCTCTTGACCTCGTGATCCACCCGCCTCGGCCTCCCAAAGTGCTGGGATTACAGGCTTGAGCCACCGCGCCCGGCCAGCTATGTTTATCTTTATTAGAAACTGCCAAACTGTTTTCCAAAGTGGCCATCTGATTTTCTATGCCCATCAGCAGTGAGTGAGAGGTCCTGTTGCTCAGTATCCTCACCAGCATTTGGTATTATCATCTTTTTTGGATTTTAGCCATTCTAATAGGTGCGTAATGGTATGTCACTGTGGTTGTAATTTCGAATTCCCTAATGTCAAAAGATGTAGATCGTCTTTGCATATGTTTAAAATTTCCCATCTGTATTATATTTTATTCAGTGAGGTATCTGCTCAGATCCTTTGCTCATTTTTTTTGGTGCTTGTGGTTTTAATGCAATAAATATTGCTAATAACTTTCCCAAAAAGTTATAGCAGTTTGCACTCTAATTGGCCGTGTGTAAGAAGACCCCTTTCCTTATGCCCTTGTCAGCATTGGATGCTACCAATCTTACATGTTTGCCCACTGGTTAGGAAATAAGTGGCATCACGTCATTTCTCTCTCTTTTTTTTTTTTTTTTTTTGGATGTATTCTCCCTCTGTCACCCAGGCTGGCGTGCCATGGCACAGTCTCAGCTCACTGCCTCCTGGATTTTAAGCAGTTCTCTCTGCCTCAGCCTCCCGAGTAGCTGGGGTTACAGGTGCCTGCCACCACACCCGGCTAATTTTCGTATTTTTAGTAGAGAAAGGCTTCACCATGTTAGCCGGGCTAGTCTTGAACTCTTAACCTCAGGTGATCCACCTATCTTGGGCTCCCAAAGTGCTGGGATTACAGGCATAAGCCACCATACCCAGCCACATCGTATCTCTAATTTGACTTTCTCTTGCAACCAGTGAGATTGAGCATCTTTTTGTATGTCCCCTTATCATTTATATTTCCTCTTCTGTGTATTTGCCTAGTAACACCTTTTGCCCATTTTCCCACTGGGTTTTCTTTTTTTTAACAATACATAAATAAGACTTCTTCGTAAGATTAGGAATATAACCCTTTGTTGTAACTTTAACAAATATTTCCCAGACAATTGTTTGTCTTTTGGCATTGTTTATAGTGTTTTTTTGTTGTTGTTTTTTTTTGAGACGGAGTCTTGCTCTGTCTCCAGGCTAGAGTGCAGTGGTGCAATCTTGGCTCACTGCGATCTCTACCTCCTGGGTTCATGAGATTCCCCTGCCTCAGCCTCCCAAGTAGCTGGGACTACAGGTGTTCATCACCACACCTGGATAATTTTTTGTATTTTAGTAGAAACAAGGTTTCACCAGGTTGGCCAGGATGGTCTCGATCTCCTGACTTCATGATCTACCCACCTCAGCTTCCCAAAGTGCTGGGATTACAGGCGTGAGCCACGACGTCCAGCCACCTTTGTGTCATTTTTAATACTTCGTTCTCCCTTGTCCCTCACCTCCAGCCCATCACCACATCCTGACCATTCTGTTAACAAAATACATCTCAAGAGAATGCTTCTCACTGACTACCCTGCCTCTGCTCTCCTCCAGTCACCACAATCTCAGCTGGCAATAGCCACTTCATCCTTTTTGCCTCCTCCAAGCCATTCTGTATCCTGCTGCCATACTGAGCCTTTCAGAACTCCATGGTATCATATCACATCTTGCTGAAATTCCTTCCAGTGGCTTCCCATTGCACGAGGATAGTGTGAATTGCTTAGCATGGCCTGCAAGGCTCTGTAGAACCTGCCTTCTGATTGGCTGGCTGGCCTTGATTCTACCAGCTTTAACCACCAGCCACACTGTCTCTCAGTTCCTGAAGTGTGTGACGGAACTTCTCTCCCGGCTCAGGGCCAGTAACTGCCTGGAAAGCTGCCACCTGTCCCTTTACCACCACCCCTGCCTTTGGTCTGGTCAAACCTTAGTCACCCTCTAGACTCAGTTCAAGGGTCACCTCCTTGGGGCCAGTTTCTCTGAGACTGCCTAATTTCTTAGATTATTTATGGCACTTCTTTGTTTAATGCCTGAGTCCTCTGTCTCGTTTACCAATGCCCGATTGAGAGAAGGTGCTTATATTAATCAGGGTTCTCTAGAGGGACAGAACTAATAAGATAGATGTATACATGAAGGGGAGCTTATTAGGAGAACTGGTTGACACGATCACAAGATAAAGCCTCACAACAGGCCATCTGCAAGCTGAGGAGTGGGGAAGCCAGTCCAAGTCCCAAAACCTCAAAAGTAGGGAAGCCATCAGTGTAGCCTTCTGTCTGTGGCCAAAGGCCAGAGAGCCCCTGGCAAACCACTGGTGTGAGTTCAAGATCCAAAAGCTGAAGAACTTGGAGTCTGATGTTGGAAGGCAAGAAGCATCCAGCACGGGAGGAAGATGACGGCCGGAAGACTCCGTGAGTCGAGTCCTTCCAACTCCTGCCTGCTTTATTCTAGCTGTGCTGGCAGCTGATTAGATGGTGCCCACCCCGATTGAGGGTGGGTCTGTCTCTCCCAGCCCACTGACTCAAATGTTAATCTCCCTTGGCAACACCCTCACAGACTCACCCAGGAATAATACTTGGCATCCTTCAATCCAATCAAGTTGGATCTCAATATTAACCATCACAGTACTCTAGAGATGTTCATTGACTACATGAACACAGCCAGACAGGGACTGGCTTCATAAGGGTGCTATGCCAGACCACGTATCTGCTGCTCTGGAGTGTTTTCAGGTCACCACCAATCGTCTATATGCTTCTTCAAGCTGCCATAATATGGTAAAAAGTACTGTCATACTCCTGGCCAAGGGGTAAATATGCATAATCCTTCTGGAAAGCAGAAGGGCCTTGGGACCTTTGGGCCTTATCCTGGGGCAGCAGTGTTCTGATTATATCCAGTTACAGCCATAAAACTATATTACTGGGGCTCTAGAAGGTGCCCAGTTAACTTCAGGTCATTCTCAGTTAATGACTCATTAACTCGCTGGCTACTTCCTCAAAGAGATTTTCCCTGGACCACACCTCACCCTCAAACCAAGTACTCTTTACCTCAATTTTTATAACATTTATCATGTCTGTAATTACTTCTCCAACACCTGTCTCCTTTCCTAGGTTCTAAGCCCCATGCAGGTAGGTACAGTGCTTGCTTTATTTGTCTTTATATACTTAGGGCTAACACTGTGCCATATGCACCTTAAGACATATAAATGAGCTGGGCGTGGTGGCACATGCCCGTAATCCCAGCTACTCGGGAGGCTGAGATAGGAGAATCACTTGAACCCAGGAGGCGGAGGTTGTGGTGAGCTGAGATTGCACCATTGCGCTCCTGGGTAACGAGTGAAAGAAACTACATCTCAAAAACAACAATACACACATATATATATGTATAAATAGATAGATAGATAATTGTTGAATAAAATGAATAGCGAAAAATTGTTCTAAATTTAGATTTAACCCAAAGGTAACTATATCAGTAATTAACCTTTATAGAGAGGTTAGTGTTGACCTGACACTGTTGGATATGCCTGTGTGTAACTGATACTACAGCGCTTGCACTTCTTACTCTTACAGATGGAAAACCGAGGCCTAGAGAACGTAACTAACTTGGTCCAACTGAGGCAACCAGCTAATAAGTTGTTTGTCAAAACCTTACTTATGATAGTGAAAACTTGGAAAGAACCTACCTTTTAATAGACAGATTTATTATTATTATTATTATTATTATTTTGAGACAGTTTTGCTCTGTTGCCCAGGCTGGAGTGCAGGGGCACAATCTGGGCTCACTGCAACCTCTGCCACCAGGCTTCAAGTGATTCTTATGCCTCAGCCTCCCAAGTAGATAGGATTACAGATGTGTGCCTCCACACCTGGCTAATTTTTGTACTTTTAGTAGAGGCAGAGTTTCATCTGTCTCTACTAAAGCCAGGCATCTGCCCGCCTTGGCCTCCCAAAGTGCTGGGATTACAGGCGTGAGCCACCGCACCTGGCTAAGAACTGTGGTTTTCAAAAGGTGTATAGTAACATAGCAAGATGGGTGCAATACAATACTTACTGGTCCCATTCAGAAAAATGGATATGGCTGTGACAATGTCCTGGCAGAGCGCTACCCCGTGTGTGGGTGCCAAGGTCATAGCGCTTGCAGTGCATACCAGCTGTGTAAAGGCGGGGCAGAGGAAGCTGAACAGAGAAAGTAACATCTGGAGGTGTGGGGGCGTGCTTTGCGGACAGGAAACTGTACACGTCCTGAAATCAGAAGGAGTCGGAGCCTTCTAGGAAGTGAGAGAAATTCAGTGGGTCCGGAAGGAAGCGATAAGTGGCGAGGCTGGGAGGTAAGCAGAGGCCAAATGGCGAAGGCCTTTGGGGCCTGTCCTGGACAGCAGTGTCCTGTCGTGATCACCGTGGATTTGGACGTGGCAAGTGGGAGGCGCCAGCCTTGGCATCCATAGAAGGTCAGGGGATTTATTTGGGTATAATTGATGCATTTCTACTTTTGTTAAAAGAGCTGGCTGGGGATGTGAGGACTAAATATGCAATGTGGAAAATGGAAAGATTCTAAGATTCAAAGTCTTGGCCTCAGTGTCACATCCGGTCAAGGGAGCAAATAGTGTGAAAATGAAAGTAAAGCCGAAAGATGATTATTTTTCAGTCTGAAAGAAAACCTCTGCTCTCTGCTAATTGTGTCATAAAGTTAGTATTTAGTCCCTTTTAACTTGGTTGTTGGCTGTCTGTTTCAGATGTCTTAGTCAATGCAATTCAGAGGCTTAAGACAGTAGTCAGTTATATCCTAGTATGTTTGGACAGTGTTAGTTCAGGCTAAGGGTTTTCAGGTATGATAACAAATGTGGCATTTTATGGCTTGGAGCGTCCTCAGTTCTGAGATCCAAAGGTGATTAATAAGCTGCTTGGTTTGAATGGTGATTGTGCCCCCTCCAAAATTCATGTTGAAACTTCACCCCCAATGCAACAGTATTAAACAATGAGAACACATGGACACAGGGAGGGGAGCACTACACACTGGGGTCAGTTGGGGGGAAATAGGGGAGGGAGGGTGGGGGGTGGGAAGCTGGGGAGAGATAGCAAGGGGAGAAATGCCAGATGTAGGTGATGGGGAGGAAGGCAGCAAATCACACTGCCATGTGTGTTCCTATGCAACAATTCTGCATGTTCTTCACATGTACCCCAAAACCTAAAATGCAATAAAATAAATAAATGGGAAAAAAAAAAAAAAGAGGTGTGGCCACTGGGAGGCAGAGCCCTCATGAATGGGATTTAGCACACTATTTTTTTTTTTTTTTTTTGAGATGGAGTCTCACTCTGTTGCCAGGCTGGAATGCAGTGGCGCAATCTTAGCTCACTGCAACCTCTACTCCCGGGTTCAAGCGATTCTCCTGCCTCAGCCTCCTGAGTAGCTGGGACTCTAGGTGTGCACCACCATGCCCAGCTAATTTTTGTATTTTTAGTAGAGATGGGTTTCACCATGTTGGCCAGGATGCCCTTGATATCTTGACCTCGTGATCCACCCACTTCTGCCTCCCAAAGTGCTGGGACTACAGGCGTGAACCACCGCGCCCGGCCAGGCGTTAGCACCCTTATAAAGAGCTCAAGGTTGAGGCGGGTGCTCCTTTGCCCTTCTGCCTTTTGTCATGTGAGGACACAGCAACAAGGTGCCATTTTGGAAGCAGACAACAGCCCTCAGCAGACACCAATGCCAGCACCTTGATGTTGGATTTCCCAGCATGCAGAACTGTAAGAAAAAAATTCTGTTCTTTATAAATTAGTCTTAGGTATTTTGTTATAGTAGCACAAATGGACTAAGACATGGGCTTTAGAAATACCTTGAATGTTTCATACTTGTTCATCAAGCATGATATCTGGAGCAGGAATTTCACATCTTGAAAATACAGAGGGATTTTACGGAGAAAATGAGAAAAGAAAAAAGAGCTGTCTTCTTTAGCATCTCCCGTGCTGGGTGCTTTTATTGTCACTGCCCATGCAAATGCGCTACAGCATGCAGTTGAAGAATTTTGATTTTCCTCCTGCTTGTTAGCACTTCTGGAATACCTGCTTGCCTGTGATTAATACCTCTGGATACACATTGAATCACCTGGGGAATGTCGGCGAAACAAAACAAAACTAAACAGATGCCTGGCTCATTCCTACAACCAAAAGAATTGAAAGTAGAGTCTCAAACATATTTGTACGTTCATGCTCATGGCAGCATTATTCACAATAGCTAAAAGGTGGAAGCAAGCCATATCCATAGATCAAAAGAGGAATGGAGAAACAAAATGTGGTATATTCATACAGTGGGATATTATTCATGCTCCACCTTGCTACCATCTGGGTGGCCCTTGAGGACGTAAAGTGAAATAAGCCAGTGTCACACACACACACACACACACACTCTCTCTCTCTCTCTCTCTCTATCATTCCACCTGTAGGAGGTACCTAGTCAAAATCAGAGAAAATGGAGACTGGGTGTGGTGGTTCAAACCTATAATCCCAGCAGTTTCAGAGGCCGAGGCAGGTGCTCAAGACCAGTCTGGCCAACATGGCGAAAGCCCACCTCTACTCAAAGTACAAACATTTGCTGGGTGTGGTGGCGTGCACCTGTAGTCGCAGCTATTTGGGCAGCTGAAGCCAGAGAATTGCTTGAACCCGGGAGGCAAAGGTTGCAGTGAGCTGAGATCTCCCCACTGCACTGCAGCCTGGGCCACAGAGTGAAACTCCGTCTCAAAAAATAAAAAGTGGAATGGTGGTTGGCAGGGACTGGCGGGAGGAAGGAATGGGGAGTTAATGTGTAAATGGGCGTAGAATTTCAGTTTTGCAAGTGAAAAGAGCTCTGGAGATAGGCGGTGGTGATGGCTGCACAATAATAGGAATTTACTTAATACCACTTAGTACCCATGAGCTTAATACCACGGAGCTGTACACTTAAAATGATTAGGATGATACATTTTGTGTTATATGCATTTTACCACAATTCTAAAAATCAGAGGGGAAGTTAATGTGATAAAGCAACGCTTGGCCAGGTGCGGTGGCTCACGCCTGTAATCTCAGCACTTTTGGAGGCCGAGGTGGGTGGATCACCTGAGGTCAGGAGTTCGAAACCAGCCTGGCCAACATGGTGAAACCCTGTCTCTACTAAAAATACAAAAAATTAGCCGGGCGTGGTGGCACATGCCTGTAATCCCAGCTACTGCGAAGGCTGAGGCAGGAGGATTGCTTGAACCAGGGAGACAGAGTTCGCAATGAGCTGAGATTGTGCCATTGCACTCCAGCCTGGACAGCAAGGGTGAAACACATCGCAAAAAAAAAAAAAAAAAAAAAAAAAGCAACACCTAATTGTAAAATTCTTATGGAAAATTATCTGGTGGCACTATCAAAAAATATTTGGAAAAATAGGAGCAGCGTGCCAACTGTTAAATCGTGTAAGGGTAGTTAAAATGGACGCTAGTCGTGATCTGATAGGTCAGTGGAACAAGAATGGGCACTGCAGAAGGGACTCCATGATTGATGTGTTCTCCTGTGACTTTTTTTTTCTTAGTGTAAGTCTCTTATTTTCTTTTGCCGAAAAAAAGAGATCAGTGCCTAGTTGTAGTGTTTCTGATAGGATTATGTCCAGAAAGGACCAGGAAGCTAGGTATAAGATTCATCTCTGCCAAAGCTAGCATTCATTGCTGGGCTTTTTTTTTTTTTTTCCCCTAGACACACATTTTCAGGTACACCAAATTGGAGAGTAAATAATAATGGAATGCCTGTTATGCATAGGGCCTGGTGCTAGAAGTACAAAAACACCATTTTGATCAACAAAAGAACATAGACCCTGATGCCGTCGTTCACATATTCTATTGAATTTATCATATCTATTGATACCAGAGGACATTAAGCAATTAACTGAACAATAATTACTAAGGATTACATATTATTTATTAATTACTTAGTAATTGTGAGAGAGTCATACTTCAGGGGGGCTTTTAGACATACAAGACACTGAACCAGTTTGAGTAGATCAATGGAGACCCTAGGAAGGGGCATTTGATCTGAACCTTGAAAGCTGAGTTTTATTAACATCTCCTCTCCCTCTTCATTCTTTTTGTTTTCCAGCCTTCTTATACCTCTTTGCCCTCACCAACCACCTGGGTTATAATCATCTTTCACTTACAAGCTACTGACAAATAGCTTGTCAAGGGTGGTGAGTCGGCCAGCGCTTTGGGAGGCTGAGGCTTGCAGATCATTTGAGGTCCGGAGTTTGAGATCAGCCCGGCCAACATGGTGGAAACCTGTCTCTACTTAAAAAAAAAAAATACAAAAACTTAGCTGGGTGTGGTGGTGGCACCTGTAACCCCAGTTTCTCAAGAAGCTGAGGCAGGAGTATTGCTTGAACCTGGCAGGCGAAGGTTGCAGTGAGCCTAGATTGTGCCACTGCACTCCAGCCTGGGCGACAGAGCAAAACTCTGTCTCAAAAAAAAAAAAAAAAAAAGGTCATGAGATGATACTGTTTACAGCCTCCTTCAATCCAATAATGAAACTCCTAAAGGATAAACAGCTTACTTTTTGTTGGATCAAGATTAGAGAAAGCTGTCTTTCTCAAGTCAAATTTAGTACTTTACTTTTTTGTGTTTTCAGCAACTCAAGCATCCCAACCTTGTCAACCTCCTGGAAGTCTTCAGGAGGAAACGGAGGCTTCACCTAGTGTTTGAATATTGTGACCACACAGTTCTCCATGAGTTGGACAGATACCAAAGAGGGTGAGTGATCCATCCCTTACAAACAAAACTAAAACACACTGGGATTTGTGAGCAAAAAGGAGCAATGACTCTTTTTAAGACCAGGTAAGAACAGCCGGTGTTTGTACAACATGCTCTCTGCTGCCGAGGTGGACGGGGGAAAATTACCAAAAATGTTACAAAAGAGATCATAGTCATTTTAATGAAGAAACCAGCAGACGCATCGTTAGATTGAACCTGATTTCTTTGGTACGCCATTTCTGCATAGAAGAGATCTCAGTCTCTAAGAAAAGGAAGGATGTTAGTTAGTCCTTGCCTGACTAGGGAGGTAGAAGCGCTTGGAGATTGAAAGGAAGGGTCCAAAGGCAATGGCTACTAGGTAATTTGAGACTAAAACAAACATGGTATTTCATCGGAAGCAATCTGGGTGTCTCATCTGCTGTATTACTCAGGATTTCTTTGCTTTCAAGTGACAAAAACCCAACTGAAGCAAGCGTAGGTGAAAAAAAATGTGTTGCGGCTGTAACTGGGAAGGTTGGGAGTGACTCCGGGGGCTCAGCTGATCTTACCACGCATCCCGCCCTAGCATATGCAGCATCTTTGTGTGCACTGGAAGAAGGCTTGGTGAGCAGACAGAGCCTTTGTCAGAAAAAAGAAAAAAGGAGGAGAGGGTCCCTTCCTGCAGTTGAGGACAGCCTCTTGCAGGGTGAGCAGACTGGATTCTAGCTCCCAACCACTCCTCGGCTGGGTGTTTTCAGGCAGGGCAACACAGGTGGTGGCTGTTCTTTCTCTCACTCTCCCCCAGCCCTGATTCTTCTTCATTGTGCCTTGCAAATAAGCTTCCTTATATGGTGGATTTGGGAGGATATGTGGGTGGCAGAGGATGGAAGGAGTTTGGAAGGGAAAAGTACAAAATAAAAAGCATGGCCACAGACTTATATCAACCTATATAACTGTTCTAGAAGAAAAAGGTAGCACATGCACATTAAGTCCAGTGGAACTCCGATTGGCTCAGCTCAGGCGATGCAAGTATACCTGGAGCCAATTATTGTGGCTGGAGGAAGAGGGTGGAATGATTAGCAGGTCCTGGGAGATATTATTCAAAGAAGGCTTCATGGTGGAGGTGGCCTTGGAGTTGAAAGGGGAGGAGACTTGAGAGAAGTTGACCAGGGATGAAAAATATCCCATCCTTTCCTTTTTCGGCTCTGTTCCTGGGAGCCCAACTGGCTGGGGACGATATGAAGAGTGGATTATAGATCAGAGCTGTGGAATGGTGTCCCATTCCATGGAATGCGAATGGCTCACATTCACACTTCAGTGGCTGGAGGCTGAGGCTCCTCCAACACCTCTTTCAAGTCTTTGCCAATTGTTTGCTCTGCCTTGTGGTGATGGTTGTATATGATCTGCTGTGACCTCCAGGCTTGTGGCTTGTGGTTTGTTAGTGACCATAGCACAGACTTTTCATGTTTCGGAATGTTAATTTACATAGCCAGAGAGCCAAGAGGACAGACACCTCCCTTCAGAAAGTCATCGATACAGAGAAATTATGTTTTCAAAGGAGAAAACATTCATATGTTGATATTTGATCTTTTGATGGCTTGCAAGTGACACTTCAATTAAACTTATTAATATGGGCCGGGCGCGGTGGCTCAAGCCTGTAATCCCAGCACTGTAGGAGGCCGAGGCAGGTGGATCACGAAGTCAAGAGATCGAGACCATCCTGGTCAACATGGTGAAACCCCGTCTCTACTAAAAATACAAAAAATTAGCTGGGCATGGTTGCGCGTGCCTGTAATCCCAGCGAGTCAGGAGGCTGGGGCAGGAGAATTGCCTGAACCCGGGAGGCAGAGGTTGCGGTGAGCCGAGATCGCACCATTGCACTCCAGCCTGGGTAACAAGAGCGAAACTCCGTCTCAAATTAAAAAAAAAAAAAAAAAAAAAAAAAAAAAAAAAAAACTTATTAAAATAAGTTACTCATGGCTGTGTGGTACCAAAGAGATGTATTTGATTAATCATATTAAGTGTCTTGGGAACACTGATTTGTAGGAGTCAAAAGCCATGAAGTTCAGCTCTTTATTTGGCATACAGTTTGAGCAGAAGAAAAAGGGCGATTACAGTTTTTAAAGCAGATTTTTAAAAACTCCATTGGCTGAAATAGGTTATATGTTCCAGGAAATAGAAAATGCTTTAATATGGGAGTGAGAGAAAACAGAAAAACCTGTAGATTACAAACCCGTAGATTGTGGTTAATTACAAGAAACATCGTTTCCAAATGGTAAAATGCTATGGTTTGCCAAATATAGGATTTACTTAAGGAATACTATTAAATATGCATGTTTGAAAAATAAGATATATTCTTAACCAGATTATATCCATTTATTTTGAAGGTTGAAGATTTTTTGTTTGCTTGTTTTAAAAATAAGTCACTTTTGATCATACTGAATAATCATTACTTCTCCAATCTATTTTATTTTATTTTTTGAGACAGAGTCTCGCTCTGTTGTCCAGGCTGGGGTACAGTGGCACAATCTCCATTCACTGCAACTTCTGCCTCCTGGGTTCAAATGATTCCCCTGCCTCAGCCTCCCAAGTAGCTGGGACTACAAACATCTGCCACCACACCTGACTTATTTTTATATTTTTAGTAGAGATGGAGTTTCACCATGTTGGCCAGGCTGGTTTCAAACTCCTGACCTCAAGTGATTCACCCGACTCGGCCTCCCAAAGTGCTGGGATTACAGATGTGAGCCACCTCACTCGGCCTTGAATCTACTTTAAATGCAATTTCAAATTTTTGCTTGTCATCATTAAGGAGTAAATGTTAAACTGTATCAACCAAAGATTTTGAAACTCATATGAAAACTTTTTAAAATTTAATTTGATTTAATTTAATTTTACATTCTGGGATACATATGCAGGACATGCAGGTTTGTTACATATGTAAACGTGTGCCATGGTGGTTTGCTGCACCTATCAACCCATCACCTAGGTATTAAGCACTGCATGCATTAGCCATTTATCCTGATGCTCTCCCTCCCACCAGCCCCCAGCAGGCCCCAGTGTGTGATGTTCCCCTCCCTGTGTCATGTGTTCTCATTGTTCAGCTCTTACTTATAAGTGAGAACTTGTGGTGTTTGGTCTTCTGTTCCTGCATTAGATTGCTGAGGATAATGGCTTCGATCTATCCATGTCCCTGCAAAGGACATAATCTCATTCCTTTTTGTGGCTGCATAGTATTCCATGGTATATGCACCACATTTTCTTTATCCAGTCTGTCATCATATGAAAACTTTTTTTTTCTGCCAATATTTATTCCTTATTTCTCTTATGTTTATTAGCAATGAGAAGACTGTCAGTGGATATACCCGGGACTAGTAAAGTTGCTTTCCTCAGGGGAATCTAGTTTCTGATTACAATCAGGATGATTTTAATATTTTATTATTTGGAGTGATAATTGCTATTGGTATTGGTAAATGGTATTTAATTCTTTTAGTTCTAGGAAATATTTTTTAATTGCATTTTCGGTTTTGGGGTACATGTGAAGAGCATGCAAGATTGTTGCCAATCACATGGCAGTGTGATGTGCTGCCTTCCTCCCCATCACCTATATCTGGCATTTCTCCCCATGCTATCTCTCCCCAACTCCTCACCCTCCGCTGTCCCTCCCCTATTTCCCCCTGACAGACCCCAGTGTGTGATGCTCCCCTCCCTGTGTCCAGTAAACTACAAAATCCCAAGGGAAAGAGCTGGGCCTTCTTCACCTGTGTATTCTCAGTGTCTTCTAGCTGCATATTTGGCACTAGGTACATACCCAGTACTTGTAGAACGACTGAATTAGCAGATCAATAAATTGATAGTTACAAAATGATTTTAAAGAAGGATAATCATACAATGTTTGGATTTTCATTTTAAAACAGTTACTTTGATTTAAAATTTTTGTAGAGATAGAGTCTTGTAGTGTTGCCCAGGCCAGTCTTGAACTCCTGATTCAAGTAATTCTCCTGCCTTGGCTTCCCAGAACACTGGGATTATAGACATGAGCCACTATGCCTGACCTAGGGAAAATGTTCTTAAAATTGCATGTGCTGGCAAGGCTAGGAAACTCATTCCACCTTAAGACATTTGTTTCGGCCGGGCGCGGTGGCTCAAGCCTGTAATCCCAGCACTTTGGGAGGCCGAGGCGGGTGGATCACGAGGTCAAGAGATCGAGACCATCCTGGTCAACATGGTGAAACCCCGTCTCTACTAAAAATACAAAAAATTAGCTGGGCATGGTGGCACGTGCCTGTAATCCCAGCTACTCAGGAGGCTGAGGCAGGAGAATTGCCTGAGTCCAGGAGGCAGAGGTTGTGGTGAGCCGAGATCGCGCCATTGCACTCCAGCCTGGGTAACAAGAGCGAAACTCCGTCTCAAAAAAAAAAAAAAAAAAAGAAAAAAAAGACATTTGTTTCCACGTTGGTGATAATGGCTGTGGCTGAGCTCTAGGGCAGAATGGGAAAGGGCTACAACAGGCAGGAAGAGAAGGGCCTCAATTATTTCTCATTCTTTATTGCTTTTTTTTTTGGCGGGGGGCGGGGGTGGGGATGGAGTTCTGCTCTTGTTGCCCAGGCTGGAGTTCAGTGGTGCAATCTGATGCCCCTCTATTTTCTGCTCTCTTATGAAGTCCTGTTTCTTCTTCCAGAAGCTGGTAGGAAGCTTCGCTTTGTGCTGTTTTTGATTATGAAACTCATGAGTGGGCCTTGATTTTCATCCATTATCCTGGCACTTGCTGGGCCTTTCCTGCCTCAGAAAAAAAGTTTGAATTGTTTTGCTATTGACTTCCTGTTCATTGTTTTATGTATTTTCTTTTTCTTGATCCTCTATTATTTGGGTGTGGACTCTTGGACTGGTCCTCTCCTTCTCTTATAGTATCCTTTTCTTATTTCATAGATACAAAAACTGCGTTTCTTTTCTCTCTGAGGATATTGATGGAATTTAAATACATATATACACTTTATTTTTATTTTTATTTTACTTTAGGTGTATACTATATCCAGCATTTCTCCCTATGTTATCCCTCCCCACCCTCTCCAATCCCCGCTGTTCCTCCCGTACCCCCTCCAGCTGCCCCCAGTGTGTGATGCTCCTCTCCCTGAGTCCACGTGAACATTTTCTCTTCACCCTCCATAATTTCTGTTACTTTTCAGTTGCTTTTTTTCTGTTTGTTCTGGTCTTCCACTTTCTGATTAGAGGCTTTTCTTGGACATTATGTAATCTCTGTTGTGTGCTCAGTTAAGAATAAGAAACTATTGGAACCTCTGAGCTTCACTATGGTTTTCTAGCTGGGCCATTTGCTGGGAGAACCTCGGTGTCAGAATCTTCAGATCTTTCCCCCGAGCTCCCAAAAAACGTCTTTGAATAGTTTACCTGGAGAGTGAAGTTGGCCTGCTGGGTTTCTCAGAGTCTAGTGAAGGAAGAGGGTTGGGGAATCCCAGCACTCGGCATTTTGTATGTGTACAGTCCCTTAATTACCTGTTTTAGAACAGTATCCACAATCCCATGTATGCCAAGTGTCCTCTGCTTTATCCTCTCCAGAAACAAAGCTCCAGCCTTCTGCCAGGTGGCAGAAAGAGTGTTTCTTATGGGCAAATAATAAAGGAGGGGATCTAGGGAGTTAATTATTTCCTAAACAGACTTTCCCACACTTCTTAGCTCCGTAGAGATCTTGGCTGCTACTTCCTGAGCCTCTTGAGGATTCTTTCGGGATAAATTAGTTGGTTCTCCCCCTTCCCTCTCCTGGCTTAGAGTTTTGCTTTCTAGGATTGTTAAGTTAATTAATTGTCATTGTTAAGTTAATTATGTTTCCTTCAGTTGCTTTCTGAATTCCTTCTCCTCTCCTCTCTGACCTTGTGAGGGTTTGTCTTTAGAAGTCTTCAGCATAGTTCTAGTCAGGTTTCGGGAGGGAATGAAATTTGCTGGGCTTGTTCAATCCATCATCTTAATGCAGAAGTCCTTTGAAGCACTTTGTTCAGTTGGTTCTGTGACACCATATTCTCCTGAGTGTTGACTTATTCACTTGATGCTCTCAACTCATGTGCCCCTTTGGGGCCCCCTTCCTCTTTTTGCTGTCTCTGTGGTGAAGGGTCTCGCAGCTTCCTTCCGAGCTCCTCTTTAGCTGGATTCACTCCTTAATTGGCTTTGTTTGGTCCTACGCCCCAAATACCAACGGTATGCTGTGCTTCTCAAACTTACCTTTCCAGCCTGACCGTCCTTCTGAATTTAGAATCGCTGACTCAGAGTCTTCCCTGGGGTGTCCAGTAAGTATTCCCTTCCCCAAGCCAGTTTCTCCTCCATTGTTCTCTGGGGTAAAGGTCCCATCATGTACCAGTTATTCTAGCTAAAAACGGGATGTCATTCCTTGATTCTTCTCTTTCCCTCACATCGAATCTCTCAGAAAATCCTAGAAGTGCTGTTTTAAAAATACAGCCCAAATCTGGCCACTTCTCACCACCTTAAACACCATTTTAGATGTTCCCTTAACCATAGCAGCTTCCTGGGCTACCCTAGATCCACCACTTCCAGCACAGCACTCTCATGCCCTCTCTCTTTCGCTCGCTCTCTCTCAGTCCAGCACCACAGAATGTATTCTATCTATTCCCCCCACCTTTTTTTTTTTTTTTAAAGATGGGGTTTCACCATGTTGGCCAGGCTGGTTTTGAACTCCTGACCTCAGGTGATCCACCCACCTCAGCCTCCCAAAGTGCTAGGGTTACAGGTGTGAGCCACGACGCCCAGCTTTTTCCCCCCCTTTTTATAGTTGTAACTCTCTTCTCCAACAGAGAAAACCTGGCCCCTCTTATTATCTGAGTGTTTCAGCTAAAAGGAATCTCAGAGTCGGAGGCCTCTGCATTTCAGAGACGAAACTGAGTAAAGAAGTGAAGTGAGTAGCCTATTCAAGATGACACGAGGTAGTTTGTATAGAATTTTTACATTTGAGAATTTTGTAATTCTGGAGATTAAATGTGCTGGGGATTAAAGAAGCAATAATGATATGTGACTATAATTTACTTTTTTTTTTTTTCTTGGAAGGTTGAGACAGAGTCTCACTCTGTCGCCCAGGCTAGAGTGCAGTGGTGTGATCTTGGCTCACTGCAACCTTCACCTCCTGGGTTCAAGAGATTCTTCTGCCTCAGCCTTCCAAGTAGCTGGGACTACAGGTGCCTGCCACTACGCCCAGCTAATTTTTTTGTATTTTTAGTAGACATGGGGTTTCAATGTGTTAGCCAGGATGGTCTTGATCTCCTGACCTCGTGATCTACCCGTCTTGGCCTCCCAAAGTGTTGGGATTACAGGCGTGAGCCACTGCGCCCGGCCTACTTTTATATGCTCCTTTTATATAATTTATTTGGGGAAATGTTTGTAGGAACTAAAGTTGCCTGCCATTATATCACTATAAGTAATCCTATATTAATACTTAATTTACAGACCAAGCATGGTGGCTCATGCCTGTAATCCCAGCACTTTGGGAGGCCGAGGTGGGTGGATCGCTTGAGGTCAGGGGTTCACGACCAGCCTGGCCAACATGGTAAAACTCCATCTCTACTAAAAATATGAAAATTAGCCAGGCATGATGGCAAATGCCTGTAATCCCAGCCACTCAGGAGGCTGAGGCAGGAGAATCACTTGAACCTGGGAGGCAGAGCTTGCAGTGAGCTGAGATCATACCATTGCACTCCAGCCTGGGCAACAGAGCAAGACTCTGTCTCAAAAAAAAAAAATACTCAAATTTATTGAATAGTCAAAAATATATTCCACTTTTCTGGATGAAATGTAGAGGTTACGGGGAAGGCTGAGGCAGGAGGATCCCTTAAGTTCAGGAGTCCGAGTTTCAGTGAGCTGTGATAACACCACTGCCTCCAGCCTGGGCAGCAGAGCCAGCCCCTGTCTCTAAAAAAATAACAAGTGGAGGCTGGGGAAAAGCATTTCCCCCAATGTATCATCTTAGTTGCATTTTTCTAAGCCTTTTTTCTTGACGGTGACTTTTTCCAGTGGCTGTGCCTATATTCCACTCACACAAGGAAAAGAGAATTTGGAGAGAAGCAAATGCAAGCCCAGGGACAGAGCCCCGGTCCAGCAATGTCCAACCATCCTTCCTGGAAGTGGCCTCTTCCTTTCCTTCCTGTGATCCCACTCTCTGTTCAAACGCCCTCTGATCTGCTTGAAAGGATTTCCTGAACGTCTGGCCTGTGACAACAGTGGCCTTGTAGCCTCTCTCAGAGGTTAAAAGTGACTTCTTGTGGTCCCCTTAACACAGCCTACTCAAGAGTTTTCTCCGTGAATTACTTATTAGTTTTGGCTGACCAGAGCAACATTGTTGAATGTTTGATTTATCAAAACAGTAAGTCCAGCCAGTGGGTTGGGGTCTCAAAAATAAATGCACGCTCTCTGTGGTCCATTTCTTTCACTCCCTGCCTTGGTTTGTTGTTGTTGTTGTTGTTTTAAATGCTCCCAGGTGAGGTGCCTCTTTCTAATTCACACAAAGTACCTGCTGGGACTACTGGTTGCCCTGGTAACATAAGATTTGAGTCGGGGAGGAAGCACTGGGAGCAGTGGCTTGGAGCTGAGGTGGTGTGATGGAGGAGAGGGTAGAAAGATGTAAGTAGGGTACCTCTGGCTGCCATGGCAGCAGGGGAAAGAACCAGGATGCCTCGGGTTTTTACATTATTACTAACATTTGTTACATGGTTTGCAATGTAAAGCCCTTCACTATAATCAGTAAAGTCTTCATTATCTAAACAAACAAACAACAGCAATGCTGCTCTGAGATACCATGTGCCCACACATGGAAGATGAGTCCTGCTTCAAAGCCATCGGTTTGGGGCAACTTGAAAAAATAAACAGCATCTTTTGTGCTGAATAGTAACTAACTTTCCATCAACAAACAATTCCTTGCAGAAATGGAGCTCAAAGTTACCAGGCAGTTTCCCAGTGGTTGTAAATACTTGTTGAAATCCCTGGAGGTTTTCATGCCTTTACCTATAGAAGTAGATGTTTGCATATGAAAAAAAGCTCATCATCACTGGTCATTAGAGAAATGCAAATCAAAACCACAGTGAGATACCGTCTCACGCCAGTTAGAATGGTGATCATTAGAAAGTTGGGAAACATGTTGTAGAGGATGTGGAGAAATAGGAACACTTTTACACTGTTGGTGGGAGTGTAAATTAGTTCAATCATTGTGGAAGACAATGTGGCGATTCCTCAATGATCTAGAACCAAAAATACCATTTGACCCAGCAATCCCATTACTGGGTATATACCCAAAGGATTATAAGTCATTCTCCTATAAAGGCACATGCACATGTATGTTTATTGTGGTACTGTTCACAATAGCAAAGACTTGGAACCAACCTAAACGCCCATCAATGATAGACTGGATAAAGAAAATATGGCACATATACACCATGGAATACTATGCAGCTATAAAAAAGGATGAGTTCATGACCTTTGCAGGGACATGGATGAAACTGGAAACCACCATTTTCAGCAAACTAACACAGGAACAGAAAACCACACACCGCATGTTCTCACTCATATGTGGGAGTTGAACAATGAGAACACATGGACACAGGGAGGGGAGCATCACACACCAGGGTCTGTCAGAGGGCTGGTGGCTAGGGGTGGCATAGCATCAGGAGAAACACCTAATGTAGATGATGGTTTGATGGGTGCAGCAAACCACCATGGCACATGTATACCTATGTAACAAACCTGCACCTTCTACATATGTATCCCAGAACTCAAAGTATAATAATAATAATTTAAAAAGTAGATGTTTGCATCTTTGTTAACCTGTTGTCCCTAGAATTCAACGGTGTGCTGGTCACACATTTTAACATTTTGGATTCATGGAATGATTGATGAGTAAGATGACTAGGGTTTTTTCACTACTAAAGCCTATCTTGGTTAACTTTTTCTTGTCCTGAGCTGAATTCCATGGCTACACTAAAGAATGTGTTTGTGCTTCTTTATTTTTATTAGGGTACCAGAACATCTCGTGAAGAGCATAACTTGGCAGACCCTGCAAGCTGTAAATTTTTGCCATAAACACAATGTAAGTCCCATGGTCTCTTTTGAAAAGTGAGAAGGCTCCCCTTAAGCTGAGGTGGAGCCTTGTACAAAGTTTATATCACACTTTTATGGGTAAAAATTTTTACCCAAATCTTCATAAGCCTGGTTGGGTAAGTAGAGGCTAAAAATGCCAACCTAGGTATTCCTTCTTGCTTAGGTTATATAAAACATGCATTTTTATGATTTTAAGAAACTAGTGCCAGGCATGGTGGCTCCTGGATGTAATCCCCGCCCTTTGGGAGGCCAAGGCAGGCAGATCGCTTGGACCCAGGAGTTCGAGACCAGCTTGGACAACATGGCAAAATCCTGTCTCTACAAAAAATTTAAAAAGTTAACTGAGTGTGGTGGTGTGTGCCTATGGTCCCAGCTACTCAGGAGGCTGAGGCAGGAAGATCGCTTGGGCTGGGGAGGTTGAGGCTGCAGTGAGTCAAGATCATGGCACTGCATTCCAGCCTGGATGACAGAATGAGACCCTGTCTCAAAAAACAAACCCACAAAAAAAAAAAAAAAAACCCAAAAAATTAGTCATACATTTATACTGATTAGAAACCACTCAGATTTAAGGCAGAACCCCATTCACTTGGAGTCTATATGGTCTTGTACTCCCAAAAGTCTGTGAAATTAGGGGAAACCCCAGGTGACTCATGTCTGCTTAGCTGCAGTATGTCAATTGCAGGAGGTGGAGCCCCAAGCGCTGTGCAAAGTACTAGTGTCTGCTTTGGTGAGTTATGAGTGTTGAGTCTGGATCCAGTGAAAGCCTATGACACTCCTGGCCACAGCTGGCTGGCAGAGGCAGAGTAGACTATTGCCCAGGTGACATGGCTTCACAGATGCCGGGAAGCCTGATGCTCCATCCAGCGCAACACTGTCCACTGCCTGTGCATAGAAACCAGATTCCAATGTTAGAGCTTCATTTTGGCCATGAGTGCAATTTCACTGCAATATTTTATCCTACCCAACTGCCAGGGTCAATTTAGGTGGTAGGGCTAAATCTCCTTCTTTATGTTGTTTCAAATGATTTTTCCTGATGCTGTATTCCCGGAAGGAGGAAGTATGAGAGTAGACAGCACTTCTCCCTGCGGAGCCTCCAACTAGCTAAAGGCTATAATCGTTGTCATACACAGGGGAGAGTGGACACCCATATTGTTAATTACTGTGACTCAGCACTCTCTTGAGAGCAGGCTTTAGGATGGGAGAACAAGAGAGACTGCACTGAGATCCTGGTAGGGCAGATCTGGGACGATAAAAACAAATAGAATGCATACCAAAGTTCCCTGGAGAGTCTCAGACGCTCTGTTTGGCTCCGTGTGCTGATGGGGGTGGGTGCAGAAACTTGTAAAGAATTCCCGGAACAGAATTGGAGCACATACTTGCTTGCAAGTACTTCTGACCATATGTCATCATGATATTCATGGTGTACCCATTTATAGCAATATGTGAAGCCAGTGGTAAAAGAACAGAAATCTCAGGGATGTTAATTGCAAAGAACCAGATAGATTGTAATAAAATCCCAAAATTATTTCACCCCCAAATTTTCCAGAATACTAAATACCCATGGGGAAACACTGACACTGATCCCTCACCCTGAAGATCCTCTGGAGTGAGAACTGTTCATGCCCAAGAAGAACCCAAGTCCTCTCCAGATTCTTAAGAATAACTCCAGGGTTTCAGGCTGCAGGATGATCTCCCATTCTCCTCCTGAGAGGAAAACACTTGGGAAAGAGGAAGATTATTAGGGATCCTGAGCAGTATTTTGACCCAACTGTGAAAAAAAAATGTAATTGTTAATTAGGTTGTTGATTTATTCTTTGCCAAAAAGATTGTCATTTAATGAGAAAATCATGTGAAGTTTCTCAAACGTTCTTCTATCACCCTGTCAAAGAATGTTGGCTGTGTGCTGGAAACCACGAGTGATTTGAGTCTAAATGGTAGAGCAGGGCCACATCCTGAGGGGTGGCTGCAGCTTTCAGAGCACTTGTGTGTGGGACAGAGCTGACATCTAGCGACTCTCCCCATAGGGTGAGGGCTGCTGCCTACTCTTGTTTATCTTGTCGGGGTGAATGTCAGAGCTGGAAGGGAGATCTCTTGGCAAGCTGTGGTTGACGCCCTTCTCTTCCCAGCTTATCTCAGCAGGCCCAGGGCTTGTCTTGTTTACGAGGCCAGCTGTGTTCTGTTAGCAGTTAAGGGACTGAATTGTGAATTCTGCTTATGCACCAATTTGCAGCTCCTGCCGTGGTGATGCCGGCCTCACCAGGAGCCTTTCAACATTTTCCCTTTCACCTAGAATTGTCAGATTAAATACAGGACTCCCAGTTAAATTTGAATTTCAGATGAACAAGCGTAACTTTTTAGTTAAGTACATCCCGAAGTGCTTCATGGGACGTATTATACTAAAATAATTATTTGCTGTCTAGCTGAAAATCAAATTTAACTGGGTGTCTTATATTTTTCTTTGTTAACACTGGCTACCCTACTTTCATTTTCCTTTCACTCTTCCTGGTTCTTTTGGGCCTTTTAGGAACTCGGGGTGATTCAGGCTCTGACAGGCATGGTACTAGATTTATTTTAGGCTGCTCTTTTGCTGTTGTCCACAGGCCAAGGAAAGATTTAAATGATTTCTCCAATATTTGCTTAATAGTCATGTGTTCCATTGATCCCATATACAGATCAGCTTTAATACTATTTTTGTTTTGTTACACTAGTGCATACATAGAGACGTGAAGCCAGAAAATATCCTCATCACAAAACATTCCGTGATTAAGCTTTGCGACTTCGGATTTGCTCGGCTTTTGAGTGAGTATTGCGATTTTCTTTTGTTAAGTATAAAAGACAGAAAAGTTCTTGATCCAGTAAAGGATCTAAGTGCTCTAGAAGTATACAAGCTAGTATTTGTATATTTGGGGCATAGCGTGCTATCAATTATAATTGTGTATTTACTGAAAACGTGTAGATACATACAGTGGTTTACATACGTATGCTATGCATAAATTATACCATGGTAAAGTGGTTATTTAAAAAGTATCTTACCTTCCTGGTTTCTACCATTTCTTGCTAAAATAACACTTTTCAGAAGTGCTACTTTAGAAGAGTGTCTTTCAACCTTGGATGCAAATTAGAAGCAACTGGGGAACTTTTTTATTTTTTTGAGACCAGAGTCTTACTCTGCTGCCCGGGCTGGAGTACAGTGCCACAGTCACAGCCCACCACAGCCCCGCCCTCCCCAGCTCAGGTGATCCTCCCACCTCCTGAGTAGCTGGGACTACAGGGGTGAGCTACCACACCTGCCTCAGTTTTGTATGCTTTTGTAGAGACGGGGGTTTCGCCATGTTGCCCAGGCTGGTCTTGAATTCCTGGGCGCAAGCAATCCACCCACCGAAGCCTCCAAAAGTGCAGGGATTATAAGCGTGAGCCACTGTGCCCAATACCCCCCAGACCGTTCCCAGGGATTCTGTTTTAATTGGAGTGTGGTTGGAGCATCTGTAATTTTAAAAATATATTCGAGTGATTTGAATGTGCAACTAGAATTGAGAACCAGCGATACAGAAAGGCCACAAGACTGGGATCAGGCTTGACTTCTGAGATCTCCCCCTCCAGTTTTGATTCCGGTCTTCCTCTTTGTTTTCCATCACTGGCCAGCTGGACCGAGTGACTATTATACAGACTACGTGGCTACCCGGTGGTACCGCTCCCCTGAGCTGCTGGTCGGGGACACGCAGTACGGTCCCCCCGTGGATGTTTGGGCAATTGGCTGTGTCTTTGCTGAGCTGCTGTCTGGAGTGCCTCTGTGGCCAGGAAAGTCAGATGTGGATCAGCTCTATCTGATTAGGAAAACCTTGGGTAAGTGGTGTTTTTGTCCCACGTTTTGGAAAACTGGATATTTCCCTGCATTAGGGCAGGGCAGAGCCAAGTTCCCAGTCTTGCCTAATGCCCTTCAGGGCATTAGTTGGGAAAGAGGAAAACTCGAAGCCTCATTTAAATGACTCTGTTAAAGGTAGCCATATTTGTTTAAATTATTGAGTATTCATTGTAAAAAAAAGACCTAGGATTCTTGAGCAGTTTGGATCAAGTTAAAACATTAATAATGATCACAACAACAATAAAAACTCAGATTTCTGTAAGCGCTTAGCAGTTTACAGAGGGCTTTCGTGGTTTACCTCATTTATGATGATGGGATAATTCAGCTGAATGTCCTTAACCCCAGCCTGCCTGACTAGTTCGGATTATTCAGACTCTATGGAGGGTGATTCCCAACCTTCTAAGTGTCAGGAGGAAGCCTGGTTTTGATGTCTCTCTCCCCCTCTTGCTTTCCCACCACACTACCCTTTCCTTTCTCTCCACCCTCGGAGGCCGAAGCGGAGGAGAAGGGCAGGGGAGGAGAAGGGAGGGAAGGTGAGAAAAAAAACCCATCAGTGGCGATTGCCCTCTTCCAAAGTCAGGGAGTTTAGACACTACTCCCAAGTGTCTCAGTTTAGAGTAAACTTTTCCTCCTGTAAACTCTCGTAGCAACTGCCATCGCCATGCCTTGCCTTGTAATCTTATCTTCCCAAAGACACTGTAAACTTCCTGATGGTGAGATCATGTCTTAATGTTTCTACGTACCCTCTACCAGTGTCTGCACATTGTAGGCAGTAAATATTTGCTGATAGCTTGACTTGTTCAGTGACATGGAAGGGGCTTTGTAGGCCTTCCAGGGGCACTCAGCCTTTCTTGGCTGTGTTTCCTGTAGCGATTTTAAGACAGCTTCCCATGTCACCCCTCTGGTACTAGAGGAAGAAGGAATTGTGCTCATGATGCAGCTCACTGAGATCTGGGCAAGGCATTAGAGGGTATATTTTGCCTTCACCAAAATGAGATGAGGCAGCAGTTTTTGCATTTGAGTGAGAGGTACATTTTTAGGACACATCAGTAAAATTAGATAATTTGATACCCTGGAGTAGGAGCTCCCACAGTGCTCTGGGAAATGGGCCTGGTTGTGACCCAGGAGAATACCTTTGAGTATCTCCTTATATTCTCTGAACAAAATCCCTCTTCAAGTGTAATATAGAATTTTACATATAGGTGATTTTAGCTGATTTGATGGAAATGCGGGCAGGAGGATTTTCCTAGAGTTCCCTGGAATATAGAAATACTCTTTTTGTTTCATTGCTTCACATTGTAAGTGCTTCTAAACATACATGAAACGGGATTTCCAAGTGAGCACTAATTAGTGAAATAAGAAAAGTTGGTCCCCATGTGGAAATGTATTCCTCCTAGCTAGAAAATCCATAACCCCCTCCCCCCCTCCTCCTCCCCTTCCGTCCCCTCCCCTCTCTTCCTTCTTCAAATATTTATTGAGTACTTGCTGTACGTTAGTAAGACACTGTTATAAGTGCTAGGGCAATACAATTATATCTTGACCTATCAGGATTCAGTTTATATGATTTTGATTTGTGGTTGTTGCCCTTTTGCTGTTTTTGTGTGTGTGTGCTTCTGAGTTTGGTTTGGGTTCCTTCAGTACACTGTAGGCTCTGAGAACAAGAAGTTGAGAGGAAGAAGCTTGAAGCCCTCAGTTTCCATCGCTTGCCTCCTCTGTGCCTAGCACAGTGTGCTGCCCACTATAGGGATCAATACAGCCTGCTGAGGGTTGCCTGAATGCCTCTCCTTCTGATTGCCCGAGAACACTGCAGCATCCATAGATATGGGCACAGATAAACACAGCATTGATGGAAGAAAACCACAGATCCGTGTTTGCTAACCGATTTCACTTTCTTTTTCTTGTCCAAAGGGGATCTCATTCCTAGGCACCAGCAAGTGTTTAGCACGAATCAGTACTTCAGTGGAGTGAAAATTCCAGACCCTGAAGATATGGTGAGTGACCCATTTTGGAGAGGGCTCTGTAGGCCAGGCTAGCTAGGCTTTGGTCTTTATTCATCTCCCTGAGCCCCATGGCTTACCCTGCATTGGAGGTCAGTCTAAGAGAGAAAAAGAAAATTGGAGTAAATTGGCTAGCAAGATCTTAGCCTTAATGCTAATTTACAGGCTATTGATAACAGAGTCTAGCAAGCCTGTTGCACGGGAATGCAGAGCTGCCTGCTGGAGCCACACCTGTTCTTTATCATGTTTTAGCAGTTGAAGCTAGGTAGCTCAGAGTCAACCAACCTTTAGACATAGACCTATCCGGCTAAAGTTAACTACTTTTTCCTCAGCATGGTCCAAATTCCCTACCTACTATGCCCAATCTCTCCAGACCATGGGAAAAATCATAATGAATTTACATGGGCTGGGTGCGGTGGCTCACGTCTGTAATCCCAGCACTTTGGGAGGCTGAGATGGGCGAATTATCTGAAGTCAGGAGTTCGAGACCAGCCTGGCCAACATGGTGAAACCCTGTCTGTACTAAAAATGCAAAAATTGGCCAGGCATGATGGCATATGCCTGTAATCCCAGCTACTCAGGAGGCTGAGGCAGGAGAATTGCTTGAGCCCAGGAGGTGGAGGTTGCAGTGAGCTGAGATTCTAGCCACTGCACTCTAGCCTGGGTGACAAAGCGAGACTCCTCTCAAAAAGAAAAAAAAAAAAAAAAAAGAATTTACTTGACCAGCCTTACTCTGGTGCCTGCCCTTTCTGGCCAACCCAAATGGAGGAAACCCATTTTTTTAAAACTGAAAGATTTGAAGTGTTGATACCTTTAATCCACTTCCAACAGTTTATTCCAATGAAACCATTATCTAAGAGCATAAAGATGTAGCATTATTTAATAGAAATTATTTCCTTTAGTATTCCATCAGTAGGAGATTAAGTAAGTATAGTACATCCTTACAATAGAAATACCTCATCACGCCAGGTGTGGTGGCTCATATGTATAATCCCAGCACTTTGGAAGGCTAAAGCAAGTGGATCAAGGGCTGGAGACCAGTGTGGGCAACATGGCAAAACTCTGTCTCTACTAAAAATGCAACAAGTTGGCTTGGCATGGTGGCATGAACCTGTAGTCCCAGCTCCTAGGGAGGCTGAGGTGAGAGGATAACCTGAGCTCAGGAAGTTGAGGCTGCAGTGACCTGAGATCACTGCACTCTAGCCCGGGTGACAGGTGTAAGACCATGTCTCAAAAAACAAAAACAAATACCACATAGTAGAGTCGGGGTCGGGTGCGGTGGCTCACACGTATAACTCTAGCAATTCAGGAGACAGCTGAGGTAGAAAGACTGCTTGAATACAGGAGGTCAAGACCAGCCTGGGCAACATAGCAAGACTCTGTCTCTACAAAACATTTTTAAAACTAACTGGGGTTGGTGGCACATGACTATTGTTCCAGCTACTTGGGAGGCTGAGGCAGGAAACTAACTTGAGTCCAGGAGTTTGAGGTTACAGTAAACTCTGATCATGCCACTGCACTCCAACCTTGATGACAGAGCAAGACCCTGTAAAATAAAATAAGAAATATCATATAGTAAAAATAGTTAGATTTATATGTATTCACCTGGGAAAAAAAGGTCATGGCATATTTTTAAATGAAAAAAATAAAATATTTGAAAACAGTATAGGTAGGGCATGGTGGCTCATGCCTGTAATCCCAGAATTTGGGAGGCCGAGACAGGTGGATTGCTTGAGCCCAGGAGTTCCAGACCAGCCTGGGCAACATGGTAAAACCCCTGACTCTACTAAAAACACAAAAATTAGCCAGGCATGGTGGCACACACCTGTAGTCCCAGCTATTCAGGAGGCTGAGGTGGGAGGATGGCTTGACCTTGGGAGGTGGAGGTTGTAGTGAGCCGAGATCATGTCACTGCACTCCAGCCTTGGCAACAGAGCCAGATTCAGTATCAAAACAAAGACAAAAACAAAACAAACAAAAAACCAGTATGTAATTCAACAAAGTTTTAACAATATGTAATATGTACATAATGCATGTATATATATATTTACATATATAAATACAAAATAATACGGCAACATGTAGGAAATCAAAAAGATTTTTACGTCTGTGAAATAAATGGCTGCAAGGATATATATCAAAATATTAACAGTGGTTATCTCTTTTTGGTGGGATTTTGGGGGTAACTTTTTCTTTATGATTTTTAAAATATTTTTGAATGTCTTCTAATGAGGCTGTATTGTAATCAGAAACATTTCAGAACAAGTTTGTAAAATCCTGAGTTTCTACTGTCTGAAGAAGATATTTTCAAAATGAAACTAACCTTCCAGCTGCTCACTAAACCCTTCAGTTTCCAGATGGAACGTCTGTCTCTACCACTTGTGTTTTATTTCTTCCCTGACTTCTTGGCTTGTCCCACAGTGAAGGCTTCTGCTTCTCTGTTGCCTCCTCCTTTTGCAGCACTAGCATTAGAAGTGGGTCTTGCTGGGACAGAGGGGCAGGAATGACACCTGGCATATGGGAGGTGACCCATCTGGCTTCCTTGTGACCTGGACATTTCCAGGTCTGTACTAAATATCTCTAGTGATTTCCTGTTCACTTGTCTGTTGGTGAAGCCTCAGAAATAACCCAGGTTTCATAAATGTAACAAGCTTCCCATGGTTTCCCAGAGGTTGTCCTGCAGATTTCCTGTTGACAGAAACACAGGAAGGAGTGCGGGGGCTGCACTGGTTGAACATCTGCGCCTCAATCCCTCTGCCTGTCAGTAACCCTGTCACGGGGAGGCCTGCTTGCTTCTAGGGTTGGGAAACTGCTCAGCAGGCAGGATGGGCCCTAGCATATCACAGCCAACCAGTCAGCATCATCCAGGCATTGTTGCTGAGACAGAAGAGCTCAATGATACAGCAATGGCATGTCAATCCCCAGTGATGCTCAGATTCAACCAACAGAAAGAACAAGAGAAATATTTAAGCTATGGAGCATGGGTGGGAGTATGGGGGTGCAACAGGGGCTACTGTCAAGGGCTAATACAAATCTGCTTTAGGATTTTTTTTTCTCCTGTTGAACGTAGGGAACTCCAAAACTGAGGCTCTTGTCTCCAACTCTTATCAATGATTAGTATGTGCACAATCCAGAATTGGTTATCGGGAGCTGGTTCCCTGTCCAAAATACTACTATACTATGAAAGTTGGCCACAGCACCAGGTCTGTGTTTGGTGACAGGAGCCTGGCCAGTCACTCCAGCCAGCAGCTCACACACTGCCACCTTTATACACACAATGCACTGCAGTCATTTATTTTGCTGGGCTTGGCTGGCTCTTATTTTCTCAGCCTCTCTGCTCAATTAGCCTTTGTCAGTTGTATGTCTCTTTAACTGGTTTGTCTGTCTGACATTGGTCATTCCTCCCATATATAGTGTTAATCCTGATTGTCTTCAGCATGTGACTAGAGCAAAATAGCCTTATATGGCCAAAAGGAGATTGACGAATGCCCATCAGGAGACTCTTTAAACAGTAGGCTGATAAAGGAAGCAGCAGGCTGTAGTGGGAGGAGACAACAGTGTTTATTCTAGAAAATCAAGAAGCATCTGTTCACCTGGGAAGGGAATAATATCTATTTTGCAGCTCCCTTTATGTAATTAGGGCTGCCTTTTTTTTTTTTTTTTTTTTTTTTTTTTTTTTTTGAGGCAGGGTCTTGATGCTGGAGTGCAGTAGCACATTTATGGCTTCCTGCAGCCTCAGTCTCCCAAACCCATGCCGTCCTCCCACCTCAGCCTCCCAAGTAGCTGGGACTACAGGAGCACACCACCACCCCTGGCCAGTTTTTTTGGTATTTTTTAAATAGAGACAGGGTTTTGTCATATTACCCAGGCTGGTCTCAAATTCCTGGGCTCAAGCCATGAGACTGCCTCGGCTGCCCTGAGTGCCCAGATTACAGGCGTGAGCCACTGGACCCAGCTGGCCACCTTTTTATCATGCCACAAAAAATGCCAAAAATTATTCTCAGGAAAGGCAAGTTTATAAATTGAGGCCAAAACAAAACTGTTCGAAGTTTTTTTTCATTAGTATTTTTATTTATAATTTGCAATCTGCATTGGTATCGGTGCAGGAAGCGAAGGGGGTGATTAGAAAGTAAATTTGGAAAAGCAATTTGGAGGTGGGGAGAGAGTGTTTGTGAAACAGGCAAAGGGAGATTGTTTTAGGCAGGAGGTGGGGTGGGCAGAGGGTGGAGAAGGTGAGGAAGATGCCAGGAAAATGTTTGTATTCAAAGATTTAATTTGAGGTAACCTTAATTTGAATACATGCTGTAAATTAAAAACCCCTTTTCTTTTCAACAGGAACCACTTGAATTAAAATTCCCAAACATCTCTTATCCCGCCCTGGGGCTCTTAAAGGTAAAATCGTGGCTTCCAACAGACCAGGAAGCACACATCAGTTGTCATCCTTGGGGGAATCTGAATAACTTACGTCAATCCATGCAACCAAGTGTTCCTTTTAGAATTCTTCTTTTGGCTGGGCACGGTGGCTCACTCCTGTAATCCTAGCACTTTGGGAGGCTGAGGCAGGCAGATTACTTTAGGTCAGAAGTTCAAAACCAGCCTGGCCAACATGGTGAAACCCTGACTCTACTAAAAACGCAAAAAATTAGTTGGGTGTGGTGATGCTCACCTGTCATCCTGGCTACTCGGGAGGCTGAGGCAGGAGAATCGCTTGAACCTGTGAGGCAGAGGTTGCAGTGAGCTGAGATTTTGCCACTGCACTCCAGCCTGGGCAACAGAGCAAGACTCGGTCTCAAAAAAAAAAAAAAAAAAAAAAAAAAAAAAGAATTATCCTTGGAAAAGAATATTTTCAATTTTTAAAATGGATCACATTCTATTAAGCGAAAATATCTGTGAGTATTTTTCACTTTAAATAAACCTAACATTATATTTGAAGTCTAAATTTATACAAAATAGAAATTTCAGGGGGGTGGTGATTGTTTTACAAAGGGATCCTTTTCTTCAGAAATGCTTAGCTGTAGGATCCCTTTAAATAAGCTAACTCCCTGGTACATTTGAAGTACATTTGAAAACTTGATTTATATATACATTTTTAGAAATATAGCTGTTATGTAAAATGAGGTGTAGTGTCAACAAAAACGTGTACAAGTTACAGTCAATGTCCCACATGGTTCAAAAATTATTTAATAGATTTACTGATGTATTAAATGATTTAATATAAATGACAATATAGCTGTTACCCAAAAGGCATCCCAATCCAGACCCCCAAGAGAGGGTTCTTGGACCTCGTGCAAGAAATAATTCAGGGCATGTCCACAGGGAAAAGTGAAAGCAAGTTTATTAACAAAGTAAAGGAATAAATGAATATCTACTCTATAGGCAGAGCAGTGCTATGGGCTGCTCCACTGACTATACTTATAGTTATTTCTTGATTATATGCTAAACAAGGGGTGGATTATTCATGAATTTTCCAGGAGAGGGGCAGAGATTTTCTGAAACTGAGGCTTCCTCCCCTTTTTAGACTATATAGGGTAACTTCTGGGCATTGCAATGGCATTTGTAAACTATCATAGTGCTGCTGAAAGTGTCTTTTAGCATGCTAGCATATTATAATTAGTGTATGAGCAGTGAGGACAATCAGAGGTCACTTTCATCACCATCTTGGTTTTGGCCGGCTTCTTTACCGCATCCCGTTTTATCATCAGGGTCATTGCAACCTGTATCTTGTGCTGACCTGCTATCTCATCCTGTGAGTAAAAATGCCTGAACTCCTGGGAGTGCAGCCCAGTAGGTCTCAGCCTTATTTTACCCAGTCCCTATTCAAGATGGAGTTGCTCTGGTTTAAACGCCTCTGACATAACCAACAAAAATTGAGTCAGTTCCTTGGAGTATGTAGTTGTGAAATTTAATCTATCCAAGAATGCGCTCCATGGCCTACTTAGTGGCCATGAAAATAGTTAAGAATGACGTAAAGGCATGTACATTATGCCTCTCCTTATATACATGCTCATATGTGCTTACAATGCATAAACTATTTCTGGAGGGATACACCAAAAAAAATTAAAAAGTAGCTGATTTTAGAAGGGTGAATGGAACACCTAGAGTGGCGGAGACTTTGCTGTATGCTGTATGAATTGTATTTGTTATCATGTGTAAATATCATTTTAAAAATAAAAACACTAGTTTTTACAAAGTACATGCAAGGGACCAAACTGGCTAAATGGATTACCCCATTTGGCCACTGAGGTAAACTCTAAAATTATATCTTACTCTCCCAGGATAGAGTACCAATTGCCTCAAGAACAGAATAAGGTGGAGAAAATGATTATTCGTTACTACTTCTAGAACTGTTTATTTAATACATGAGTGACCATTTAGGAATGACTGGACGGAGCTAAAGACATGACTGGTGTGTTTTCCTGCCTTTTCCCCCTTCTTATCCAACTAAAGAGTTTCATCTTTCAAAGAAGAAAAAAAATGACATTAGTAAGTTAATAAAATTTTAAAGAAGAAGAAGGAATTTTCTGTTCTTTCAGGGCTGTCTCCACATGGACCCTAGTGAGAGACTGACATGTGAACAGCTGTTGCACCACCCATATTTTGAAAACATCAGAGAAATAGAGGATTTGGCAAAAGAACATGACAAACCAACAAGGAAGACCCTAAGAAAGAGCCGAAAGCACCACTGCTTTACAGAAACATCCAAGGTGATAGTTTCAAATGATCTCCTACCTGCCACCTGGTACACAGAGTTGGAACCTTGACTTCAGAATGGCAGTTGTGGCTTTCAGCTCCAGCATCATCATTCTAGCACTAGGACACAGGTCACAGGGTCTATCAGCCAGGGTCCCAGGGACATCTGTCTCCTGAAGCCCCCTCTCCCTGAATCCTAAAGGTGCCCTTGTCCTGCTGTTTCCTGCTGCCACACAGGGGCCAGGGTTTCCGGCCTGCATGAGCACAGGTCTCAACAAGGTACATAAGTATGAGTCCAGCTGAGCACACGTCTGGTACTTTGGAAAATGAAATCAGATTTTCCCCAGGCAGTTCTGTGTCATCATGTTCACCTTCACTATTAACTAACCCTCCAGGTTTGTCCAAAAAAGGAGCTGTTTTCCTCCCTGATCCTTTGTCAGAGTTGGCTAGGGCAAATACAGTGATGAGTGCTTTGGGTGATATCAGCAGAATATTTAACCAGAGAACAGTATCCAAACTGCACAATGGGAGCCTGTGAAGAAGCCTGACTGGTATAAAATGGCCTTATGTTAAGCATCTTGTGATAAGCCCAAAGCTGCAATAATTTAGAATGAACTGTAGTTGGAACCACAACTGCTCCTGGGTAACCTCTGGATCCTGCCTGGGTTCTCCTTAAGCTATAATTTATCTTGCCTTAGTCTTTCCCCTTGCAGCTTCCACTGCCTGGCATGCTGAATGGTACCAGGGTGGTGTGTGTGAGGCTGGGAGGGAAAAGGGGGAAGAGTCCATGAGGAACAAGTACAGCATGAACTCCAGGGCCCTAATGTAGATCACAGTTACAAAATTAAGAATGTTTTAATTTTATTCTCCATCATCTATGATCCAGGTAGCAAAACAGGCCAGAAATAGACTCCTCCACTCCCACCCCAGAATTATTTATCTCAGTATTACTTTGTATTCAAGAGCAAATGGTTTTGATGGAAATATTTCTTATTGAAAAAATAGGGAAACTCTACTATTTGGTGTATTGTCTTTTTTTTTTTTTTGAGACTGAGTCTCATTCTGTTGCCCAGGCTGGAGTGTAGTGATGTGATCTTGGCTCACTGCAACCTCCGCCTCCCAGGTTCAAGAAATTCTCCTGCCTCAGCCTCCCCAGTACTTGGGATTACAGGCACATGCCAGCATGCCCAACTAATTTCTATATTTTTAGTAGAGATGGGGTTTTGCCATGTTGGTTAGGCTGGTCTCAAACTCCTGACCTCAGGTGATCCACCCACCTCACCTCCCAAAGTGCTGGGATTATAGACGTGAGCCACCGCACCCAGCCTGGTGTATTGCTTTTAAATCCTGAAGGAATCGGTTGATTTAAAAGTACTAAAAAGTACCTTTCTGAGGAAAATAGCTGAAAAATTTTTTTTCTGCAAAGGAAAAGTACTAAAAAGTTCCCTTTTTAGGCATACCTAAGGACATACAGTGCAATACAAAAAATACAGGTGTGTTCTTACTTTCATTTGACATTGACAGTAAATTCAAACATTTTCAGGAAGCTTGAAGGAAACAGGTTTATCTTTTGTCTTTAGAGATGGGGGTCTTGCTATGTTGCCCAGGCTGGTCTCCTGGGCTCAAGTGGTCCTCCCACCTCAACCTCCCTAGTAGCTGGAACAAGTGTGCACTGTGCCATGCTTGATTTGCCTTTTTAACTAAAGGAAGAGACTAAGTAGGCAAATTGCCTAGGTGCTGGTTACCAGTTTTCTGCTATAAGACAAGGCATTGGCTTAAATGATCCCTAACATCTCAGCAAGCTCTCAACTCCTGTAAATTTATATTCGTTTCCCAATAACGTTAACATACAGATTTTCCCTTTTTCATATTCTCTAAATCTTCTTTAATGTGCCTGATTTTCCTTTTTAACATAAAATAAATCTTCAAAAGGAGAAGCAAAGACCAAATTGAAACATTTAATCCTCTCTCAAGTCCTGGAATCTGTGCAAAAAAAGTATTTCTATACTAAAAAGCTTAATGACCTCTTTTGTGATATATTCTAAATAATGAAAAAAAAAATGCATGGCACAGTTTTGAACCTAATTCTGTGTTTTGCATTTTCAGTTGCAGTATCTACCCCAGCTAACTGGCAGCAGCATCCTTCCAGCTTTGGATAATAAGAAGTACTACTGTAATACCAAGAAACTTAACTACCATTTTCCAAACATTTAAAGGTGCTAGGAGACATGATTTTAAAAAAGGAATCGATAGATTCTTTGAAGAAAATAAAACTTATACAGTTGATTGAAAACAATTACAATGTTGAAAACATACCAAGAGAAAACATAAGCAAGAAACTGGGAGGCCACTTGGCACAATACGAAGGGAAATTCCAGAGCCAGTCTTCCATGCTTGATAATGGTGTACAGAAAAGTGTTTGGAGTTTCACCTGTATTTCAATTTATGTAAGCAGCCGAGCTTATGAACAGCATATGAACTGTCCCATACCTCTAGCAAAACCAGATGATGTCAAAAAGATTTATGTTTCACTTGTACCAAATGCCACACAAGAAGAATGGACTACACAATACCTATACATATTTCCTCCGATCTCTGTTGCCTTGACTCCTATCTCCTGCTTCTCAGATTGTTTCAGCATATTTAAGGCTAGTTCTATTTCTTGAAATCAAAATGTTTAAAATCCCATTTCCTGCTTGCTCTATTGCTTGATTTTTATATCTTAAAACATTTTGTGGGTAACACTTAGATTCAAAATATTTAAAAACATATGAGTTATCACAAAGACTTGGTAATTTCTATATTTAATTATATGTTTATACATTTCATAAGGATGTACCTTAGTCACTTTTGCAGGCAAGATGGATTTACTATAATCTGTCTACATTTATTCACCCCATTACCCTTGCAAACAGAGGAATGAAGCTTGGCAGGTGATTAAGGCAGTCAAAGGGTAGAGCAAGACCTACGGGCTTTGCAGGAACTGAACCTGTCATCCTGAAAATAATTAGTACTTCATTCTATCCGGCACAGCCTTAGACCTGGTACATCTATAGGCAAAGCTGTAATATAGTGATCTGGGTTTCAGAAGGAATTGCTTGTGGACTCATTCATGACATGAGTCATGAAAGACATGATGTTTTCCCTGAAACATCTTTTCATGCTGTGTATGTGTAGGTATGTATATATATATATATATATGCTATCCTAACAACTAATATATTACAATAAGTAGTCCAAAATTGAGGATTCACAGCTTTGTACAGTGACTTAAAATAATGACATATATGTATTTATGTGTGTATGTGTGTATGTATGTATATATATACACACACACATACATATATATATACATACATACACACACACACACACACACACACACATATATATATACACACACATATATATGTATGTCAATCCCTCCACCTCAGCCTCCCAAGCAGCTGGGATTACAGGCATGTGCCACTATACCTGGCTAATTTTTTTGCATTTTTTGGTAGAGACAGGGTTTTGCCATGTCGCCCAGATTGTCTTGAACTCTTCTGCTCACGCGATCTGCCCGCCTCGGCTTTCCAAATTGCTGGCATTATAGGCATGAGCCACTGCATCCGGCCAAAAAGACATAATTAGCTTTGATTTGGCCTACTGCTCTTAATCAAAAAGCTTTTTCATCCTTGTCCCCTGGACACAAGGGCAATATGAAGCCTGATGTCTGTTTCTTACAGCTCAACACCATTTCTGGTTGATGTGCTGCCACCATTCCTAGCACTTCTCAGCCATGGTCTTCAAAGCTGTATTGCACTGTATTTTCAAAGCATTTCTTCTGTATTCTCATTTTCTTGTAAATTTTCTTCATGATGACATCTGACCCCATTCCCTTACTGTTAAGTAATCCACTGAAGTCTGGTGTCTGTTCGATAATTTTGACTACTTTAGGCACTTTAATGATATCCTGAGGCTTCCTAATGTAGTTTCTTGCCTAGATCTGATAGGGGGTTAAATGCTAGTCCCAGAATTAGTCAATTCCTGTTAGCCTTGATTCACATGACAAGGAAGAATATCCAACTTCTGTGAATAGTTAAAATTTTTCTTTTTTTCCCTTAACCCAAGAAAATGCACTTGATGGAGGCAGATGACCATAACTGCTTAATTGAGCCAATAGTTTTACTGAAAACCATTCAGAATAGAAAAGTAGCTCTGGACTAAATGTGGTGAATCAGTTGTCTCACCACACAGTAATGAAAGAAACTTGAGAAAAAAGGCTTATTTTTCTCTAAGGAGTTCCATTAAATTTATGCTTATGTTCAATTTGACCATATTTATAATCCTTTTATTCAAATGCATGAAATCCCTACCACATGAGACTCTTCCACATCATTTTATTTACTTTTCTGATTTTTAAAATGACAGTGGCAATTAATAAACAGTTTATCATTTATCTATGTGCTATTTGTATAAGCTGGGTTTTAAACACACAAAAATTATTTTTTCTACCTGAAAGCTGCATCATAGAAAGTATTTATTTGAAAATTCTTTTCAAGTTTATATTCAACAGCTTAATAATGTTTAAACCAGGCCGGGTGTGGTGGCTCACACCTATAATCCCAGCACTTTGGGAGGCCTAGGTGGGTGGATCATGAGATCAGGAGTTTAAGAACAGTTTGGCCAAGATGGTGAAACCCCATCTCTACTAAAAATACAAAAATTAGCCGGGCATAGTGGTGGGCTCCTGTAATCCCAGCTACTTGGGAGGCTGAGGCAGAGAAATGCTTGAATCTGGGAGGCGGAGGTTGCAGTGAGCCAAGATCATGCCCCTGCACTCCAGCCTGGGCAACAGAGCGAGACTCTGTCTCAAAAAAAAAAAAAAAAAAAAAAAGTTCAAACCACACACACAGAAATCTATAAACAAGCTGGCATAGAACAGTAATAGAATCAGGGGCATTTCACACAGGTAACAAAGACCTGTTTTATCTATTTTTGACTTTTTTTTTTTTTTTGAGACAAGGTCTTAATCTATTGCCCAGGTTAAGTGCAGTGGTGCCAACATGGCTTACTGCAGCCTTGACTTCCCAGGCTCAATTTTTTAAGAGACAGACAGGGTCTCCCTTTCACCCAGGCTGCCAGGGTGGCATGCAGTGGCCATGATCATAGTTTACTGAAGCCTCAAACTCCTGAGCTCAAGCGATCCTACCACCTGAACCTCCCAAGTATCCGGGACTACAGGTGTGCATCTCCATGCCTGGCTAATATTTAAATTTTTTTTATAAAGATAGGGTCTCACTGTGTTACCCAAATTGGTCTCAAACTCCTTGCCTCAAGTGATCTTCCACCTCAGCCTCCCAAAGTACTGGGATTACAGGCATGACCCACGGCACCCAGCCTAAAGCAATTTTAGGTTTTAAGAAAAACCTAAGCATAGCCTACTGGTTTTTATGATTGTTTCCTTTATTATATTGCAATCCACAAAACTATGTGAATTCAGCCAAGAACTATGTCCAGTTTTAATAAAATACTAGCTTAAGTTTACAAAGTAGACAAATTAAGCAGCAACTGTTGATTTTGAGAAAGGATGTATGGTATGAAGAACACAAGAATGCAGGGTCAAGGGAAATGCATGCAAATCCTGGGAAGCAATACGTAAATGCATGCCTCAACAACCGCTGAACACTTTGTGCAACTGATTCCATCAGTGAATCTGTAATTTAGCTTCTAATTTCTCATAATTGTGCATTTATGGTAGTATGCTTCATTAAAGTTAAATTTAATGTAAATTATTGTTATAATACAATAAAAATATCTGTTGTTCAAATAACTTTAAAGGATTCCAAATATCTACATCAAAAGATATCTCTAGATTTACATATTAAGTGAAGAATATATGAGAATTAAAATGTTACCTAGTTTGCATTTTTCTTTTTTCTTTTTCTTTTTTTTGAGATGGAGTCTTGCTCTGTTGCCCAGGATGGAGTGCAGTGGCACAATCTCGGGTCACTGCAACCTCCACCTCCTGGGTTTAAGTGATTCTCCTGCCTCAGCCTCCAGAGTAGCTGGGATTACAGGCATGTACCACCACACCCAGCTAATTTTGTATTTTTAATAGAGATGGGGTTTCGCCATGTTGGCCATGGTTGGTCTTCAACTCCTGACCTTAGGTGATCTGCCTGCCTTGGCTTCCCAAAGTGCTGGGATTACAGGTGTGAGCCACCATACACAGCTGCATTTTTCTTAATGTGTATTAATGTACATAAATTCTCACTTCCAACTTAGTAACATTAGTGAGTCACATCTGAATATTTTCTACATATGAGGTACTCTCCACTTCTAAAATGTCATGCTATGGCATCCTTATAATTCTACTGATGATTATATAATATTAATTGACATTTAGAATCACCAGTTTCAAATAATCCTTTATACTGAAATAAGACACATTCTTTTACTTCAATTGTAATTTTAGTTCCAGAGAAGGCAGTGCTGTCTTAAAGGTTTGGACAAGATTTTCTTTTTCTCTTACTCCAGGAAGATCACTTAACAACAAATATTTGAGGTTTCTGCAAGTAAAGAAAAAAAGTCACTTTAATTTGGCCAAGAGCATTAAAAATGAACTCAATTTACTGACTTAAAGAAAATTACATAGAAAATGAATCTATGTCACCCTATGCTTTAAAAATGACTTTCAGAGAAGTAGCCTTAGAGATGAAATTCATGCCAAGAAGTAACACAGACTTTGGGTTATGTCAATATTTCTAGCCAAATCATTCTAAATAAAATATATATAATGACATAGATATCCTTTGCATGTGAAATATGAAATGTGAAACCCCAAAAGGGTAAAAACTGTGAAAGTTCTTAAAGGTACTTAAGTTTCTACCAAAAGATGAAGCTTTGAAACCTCAACTAATGTAAGAGATGAATAATCTAGTACTTTTGGTCCTCATGTTTAAAATTTCTCAAACTTCCTGTGATATTGAGGTTTCTGGCAGATCCATTATATATTAAAGCATAACTACATTAATTAGATTCAGAATTTAAATGTGGGGATCTCTAAAATAGGGATTTGATTAAACAAACTTCTGTTCTTTTTTTTATCATCCTGATAAGACTCAGAATCTTACAATTTTAGAATTAAACATTCCTTGCTAGTATTATCTGTTTTTGCGTTTGGGATTAGGTGACTTGCTCCAGGACATGGCATGGGTCTGGTTGGTGGCACAAAAGGATGTAGAACAGCTTTCCTAACTAGTGGATGCGTGCTTTTGATGAGCATTATAGTGTCAGGCAGTGTTCCAAGCTCTAGAGACAGAAAGGTGAATATTTCAAGGTTTGTTTCCCTCAAACAACATAATTACAGGGTAAAATGCTAATAGGTATACACCAAATATCCTGAAAATATCAAAAACATAGGGGAAATCACTTTAAAAAAAAGTAGAGAAAGCATAATCGTTGATGCTTACTGAGGGCTTACTGTGACAGGCATCATGCTAGGTGCTTAATACAGATTTAATTTTTAAAAACATACTCTATAAAAATGCAATAAAACTAATGGATTAAGGTTGACAATTTTAACTGTTTTAAAGTATTACAGATGAAAGTGAGGTCATTTTTAAAAATCATCTTTTTCAGAACTAAAAAAAGATACTAAAGATACTACCCCTCACAGTCAGTTAAATTCTAACTATTCACCTTAACAGCATTATCAGGTTTCCACTTTGGCTTTGATCATCTACCTTAAATGACGCAAAGCAACGATGCCTTTGTCTGTGATATTGCCACAGGATATTATTTCCATTTCCAATATGCTTTTTTGTAAATTTTCAAGTTGACTAAGTTTCAGCAAACAGCCATCTTCGATATACTGACACTTGCACAGCCTTATTTTTTCAACGTGCTCTAGGCCCTCTGCGGAGAAAAAGCACAGATTAAGAATCTGCTTTACCATTAAGATGACAAACTGTCCTGGTTTGCTCAAGACTAACTTAGTTTTAGGACTGAAAGTCCTATGTCCTGGGAAACCTCTTAAGTCCCCTGAAAACTGGAATGAGTGCTCACCATACAAACCATATAAGGAATTCACTATAGAGCTTGTGCTGATGGACAGGGCCATTCCGCAGTCAGATGCCCTGGAGGAAAGAAATGCCCACATAGGGGCAGGCACGGTGGCTCACACCTATAATCCTAGCACTTTGGGAAGCTGAGGCACGTGGATCGCCTGAGGTCAGGAATTCAGACCAGCCTGGCCAACATGGTGAAACCCTGTCTCTACTAAAAATACAAAAATTAGCCGGGCATGGTGGTGCACGCCTGTAGTCCCAACTATTTGGGAGACTGAGGCAGGAGCATCACCTTGGAGGCAGAGGTTGCAGTGAGCCAAGATTGTGCCACTGCGCTCTAGCCTGGGCGAGAGTGAGACTCTGTCTCAAAAAAAAAAAAAAAAAGCCCACATAAACAGAAGCTGTGTGGATATAATTAATTATTCCTGCATTATTGAGGGCTCCTCAGTGATAGAAGTTTGACAAAGATAGTTTGACAAACAAGGCCCTGGATTTTAAGTCAATAAACCAAAGAATAGAGACATATAAAAACAAGCTTAGTGAGAGGAGGAAGGAGAGGAAGGTATTTGTCACCTCAATTTAATTTGAAAATAAATATCAAACGCAGGAAGAAACAAACTTGACTGTACTGAAACAGGCAAAAAAGACATACCTATAACTATAATCGTGAGTCAACCACAAAATAGTCATTGCAAATCACCTGCATTTCCTATTAGCAAAATGATAGGGTGGTTACCCATGTGATCAAATCCAATGCTCATGATACAAGAGTCGGTGGCATCAATCGCCTGAATCTTGTATTTGTCGAGAGGGCCTGTTGGGAGGTGGTTGTAGTCCTTCTGCCACCTCTCCTGACCATGGTAGCGTACCATGGCCCCACAGCGCAGCAACCACTCGGATGCTGCCCTGTCAGGGCCAACATCCCTGATGCGCTCATAATCCACCCTGTTTGCAAGAGGGAAAAAAAAGCAGTTCGCTTTTACAATAATTACTAGCTTGTTAACTATATTCACTGACATAAATACAGAATGTAACAAATTTTCATTTCAAGTGGCTGAAGAGGAAGATAAATGTATTAATGAGATCCATGCAAAAAAACCCCTAAAACTAAAAAACTGTAGTTTATCTGCTAACTTTTTGTTTTGTTTTTGTTTCCAAGTGAACACTGTCATGGCATATTATTTTTATATGACTTTATCAGTCAGACACAAGTTTTCATTGATTCGTATATAGTAGAGTGCTTGACACCAGACATATTTAGTAACTGTTCTAGGAGTGACTATACTTGGTGAGAATTTCTATTAATAACAAAAGATTAAAGAGAAAACAATTCTGAATTTGTGTTCAAATTAATCTGAGTAAGTGATATTTATTAATTTCTACATATGCTTTTTTTTCTGTAGCTAGTGATCATAATGCTGTATTAAGCAATCAGGAGGTTCATCAGTTTCAAAATAATATTTTTCAGTGTGCCACCCACTAATTTTTTGAAAACTTGAGTTACTTTGATAGAATTCAAAAGGTTAACTACATTCCTTTAAAAAGCCATAAAAATATTTAAAAATTATATTTAATACATTTTTCTGATTATGTTTATTTTAAAAAACTTGAAATATATCAAAAGGACTAGTAAAAAAAATCCTTGAAATTCTGCAACTCAAACAGCCACAGTTAACATTTTGTAATCTATTTTTCTGCTGTTTTTCCGATGTTTGTGTGGGTTTTGTTTGTCTGTAAACAAAATTAGGATCACACTGTAAATTGTTAAAAGAACATTTGAAATACAAGAAATAGGCCAGGCGCGGTGGCTCATGTCTGTAATCCCAGCACTCTGGGAGGCTGAGGCAGGTGGATCACCTGAGGTCAGGAGTTGGAGACCAGCCTGGTCAACATGGTGAAACCCCGTCTCTACTAAAATACAAAAATTAGCCAGGTGTGGTGGTGGGTGCCTGTAATCCCAGCTACTCAGGAGGCTGAGGCAGGAGAATCACTTGAACCTGGGAGGTGGAGGTTGCAGTAAGCCAAGATCGATCCACTGCACTCCAGCCTGGGAGATAAGAGCAAGAAAACAAACAAACAAAAAATAGCCAAACTAGCTGTCAGGAACTAATCTATCTGTAACAATCTCCATATCTCTTCACTTTATTTAGAGTAACTTACTTAAACAAACAAACAAACAAAAAAATGAGAAATAGCCAAACCAGCTACTGGGAACTTATCTAGCTGTAACAATCTCTACATTTCTTCACTTTATTTAGAGTAACTTACTTATTAAACACTGCATTCAACCAGCCCCAGAAATATCTGGAGTCACATGACCATGGGAGTTTCTTTAATCCACACAACTGCTGGGAAACTTTTCCAAACAGCATCATTTGATCTAGACACACAAAACAGTACTTATATTAGATCATCATCAGGGTTCTATACATATAGCAACTTACTTCACAACTTCAGAGTCAATGTTCTTGTACTGATAAAGCTGATGACTCACTTGCCACTCAACAGTTATTGAGCAGGTCACTCCTGTTTCTGCCTCTTGGGTTTTTTTATTTGTTTGCTGAAAAAAAATGAGGGGTTGGACTGGATGGTGCCTAATGTTCCTTCTGGCTTGAACATTAAGTTCCACTGTTGAAAACTCAACTGGAGTCTGTCTGTTGTACTGCCACCTAGTGTCCATTCAGGCACTGTAGTTACATATTTGCTGAAACCAGCTCTACTCCCCATCTGTATTTTCAGTATCAAAATGACTTACTAAAATCACCGAAAAAGCAATGTGTCGAGGTTAAGATGCTTACATCCAGAAGAGAAGAGGAGACATGAAAATAGATCTACCTATGACAAGGCTGCAAGTGGTGTTACCACAGCAGTGTAAACAATAAAAATGTTGCAGGGCAGCTGGAAAGGGCTGGGCAACTGACTTCACCTTTCTAACCTCTGGTATTCTCATTTGTAAAATGAGATGATTTGCTTAGATAATTTCCAGCTGTCAAAATCTATAACCAGAATTTGAGAGTGATTCCTGGAGTAGGTTTCAATCTGATTTATCTTAATTCAAATTTCTCTAGTAGTGTTCTAGGTGGTGTGTGCAAGGGACTGGGTGCAGCAGGGGGGATGGGGAGACAAAGATAAATGAAAGACGGTGTTTGCTTTGAGCATCTGACAATTTAATGCAGGGGGGAGTGGGCTAAGATACGTTACCAAGGAGTTAAAATAAGTGACGGAACTTGATAAATGCCTCAAAAGAGTTAAAACGAGGACAGAAAAAATTTCAACAGACAAAGGTGCCAGGAAAAACTATGCCAGATTATTAGCTGAAGCAGGAACATTTAAGGCATGTTATTTTCAGTTTCACTAGCACATGTGAGTCACGAGAAGAGGCAGGCAACTTGCAGAGTCAGGTCATGAAGGGTCTTGCATGCTCACCAGGGAATTTGGACTGTATTCTGCAGGCAGCTGAGAGTCACCGAGGTTTTAGAACAAAGCACTGCCATTGCTATGGTTGTGCTTCAAGAAGTTTACTCAGACAGCAGCATCAAGATTAAGGGTCAATAGAATGGGACAGCCAGCCAGCAAGGGTTTCAATCATATGAGGCCAGAGGAAAGGGCCTAGTTGGGGAAGGATGGGAATGATATTACAGAGTTAGTTCCATATGACTGAGTTAAGTGAGATGTAGGGGCAAGTGCTAGAGGAGTTGAAGATGGCACCAAGTTTTGGTCCTGGGTTACTAGTAGGATAGTGTTGCCATGAACAGAAATCAATATCAGGAGGACGGGGTTATAGGTTCAGATTTTTTTAGTTTTTCATAATCTATATATTAAATGTTAGCAGGATTTCTAAGTGCAGATGACCAAGAAATCACTGGAATCAGAGTCACAAAATGTTAGAGCTGTAAGGAATTTAGATCACCTGGACCATGTGAGGAAACTGAAGCTCTGATATTAAGTAACTTGCAGACACCCTAAATCCATTCTGGAACAAGGTGCGGTATTAATAAATGCATGTGTTTAAAGGGACTTGCTCAATGTTTCATGGCTAATTGGTGGTAGTGTTGAAACTTGAACCCAGTTCTCTACCAGTCTGGGGTCCTTTCCTTAATCATTACATGGTTCTAGAATTCAAGAGAAAGAAGAGGGCTAGAAAGATGCCTGAATGGGAAACATCTTAGAGCTGAGGAAGTAACTGAGGATGTTGAGGCCATGAAACAGTGAGAGATGTGACCTGAGGACAGAACCAACTACCTTTTTCACTTCTTTTCTACCATAGCCGTCTTCATGACTGCAAACCTCTGCTCCACTACCTCCCTTTCATGTTCTCAACCCTTTCCAGCTTTTTGTTAAAGCTCTCTGTACCTGTGCCCACCTTGAATAACTATTAGTTGTCAATCTTATTTACAAAATATGGGCTTTCCCAGCTTCTATTCAGGCTATTTTCTCTTAGCCTCCCTCCCCCATCACCATCAATCTGTGGAAATTCCACCCAACCTCAAGACCTTATTCAAATTCCATGACCATTCATTCACTCGCTCAATAAATGTTTATTGAATGTCTGCTATATTTAGTGCAAAAGCAACAACGGTAAGTCAAAACAAACAAGAACAAAGGAGAAAGAGACATACAGAGAGAAGGACAAGGTTCCTGGCCTTATATAACGCATAGTTTAATAAAGACAGATGACATATTAAGAGATAAATAACATCCAACGTAGTTAGATAATAGAGGTGTGAACAAATGCCATGAGAATCTAGAAGAGGGAGTGAGAGGAAGGCTTCATACTGGAGGTGTCTTTTGAGATGGGTCTTAAACAATGATTAAAGTTTTTAGTTAGTATAAAAGCAGAACCAGAATACGCAAAAAAAAAAAAAAATCCAATTAGAACAAAAAAAGAGTATGCAAAGTAAAAGAAAGAGCAAGACTCATATCTTATTCATTTCCATTTTTCTTAGCATAATGCAGAAGTTTAATAAATATTTGTTTATTAACAGTCTTCAATGGTTGACACGTTTCCATGGAGAAAGATAAAACCAGTTAAACTGTTATTAAGCAGGTGAATTAGAATGGTCTTTGAAAACTTTTGCTTGATTCATTTTGGTCCATCTTATAATTTAGCTTAAACGAAAGGCCAACTTTACTTCAGCTGCAATCTCTAAAAACACAAGATATTAGCTTTAAAAGATTTTAAACATGAAAATTAAGTTTATATTTGGCAATAGAGGTAAAAAAAATTTGGTAGGTTTTTACGTTCTCAATTGCAACTTTGCTAATGATTTTGCAAATTATTCCTACTTGAGTCCAAGCAGTTGTGTCTGGGAATGTTTTCTCTAGGGAAAGAGGAGACCTCTAGTGGTAAGTTAGTGAATCTAGCTCTAATAAATTAAAAGTATCCAGTTAAACGCAAATTAGAAAATAACCACTACTAAATTACTGCTGCCATAGATAATCCACCATGATCAAGTGGGTTTCATATCAGGGATGCAGGAATGGCTTAACATACACAAGTCAATAAATGTTATACACCACATAAACAGAATTAAAAACAAAAATTACATGATCATCTTAACAGATGCAGAAAAAGCATTTGACAAAATCCAGCATCGCTTTGTGATTAAAGCCCTCAGCAAAACTGGCATACAAGGAGCATACCTCAAAGTAATAAAAGCCATCTATGACAAACTGACAGCCAACATAATAGTGAATGGGGAAAAGTTGAAAGCAGTCCCTCTGAGAACTGGAACAAGACAAGGATGGCCACTCCCACCACTTTTAAAAAAAAAAATTTTTTTTTGAGATGGTGTTTCACTCTTGTTGACCAGACAGGAGTGCAATGGCACAACCTTGGCTCACTGCAACCTCTTCCTCACAGGTTCAAGTGATTCTCCTGCCTAGCCTTCCGAGTAGCTGGGATTACAGGCACCCGCAACCATGTCAGGCTAATCTTTTGTGTTTTTAGTAGAGATGGGGTTTCACCATGTTATCCAGGCTGGTCTTGTTCTTTTCTTACAATATATTTTATTTTACTTCTTTTCTTTTTTTTTTTTTTTTTTTCTTGAGACGGAGTTTCGCTCTTGTTACCCAGGCTGGAGTGCAATGGTGCAATCTCGGCTCACCGCGACCTCCGCCTCCTGGGTTCAGGCAATTCTCCTGCCTCAGTCTCCTGAGTAGCTGGGATTACAGGCACATGCCACCATGCCCAGCTGAATTTTTGTATTTTTAGTAGAGACGGGGTTTCACCATGTTGACCAGGATGGTCTCGATCTCTTGACCTCGTGATCCACCTGCCTCGGCCTCCCAAAGTGCTGGGATTACAGGCGTGAGCCACCGTGCCCGGCCAAATCTGGAGGCATCACAGTACCTGATTTCAAACTATACTATAAGGCCATAGTCACCAAAACAGCATGGTACTAGTATAAAAATTGGCACATACACCAATGGAACAGAACAGAGAACCCAGAAAGAAACCCAAATACTTAATAGCCAACTGATCTTCAACAAAGCAAACAAAAACACCAAGTGGGGAAAGGACACCCTATTCAACAAATGATGTTGGGATAATTGGCAAGCCACATGTACAAGAATGAAACTGGATCCTCATCTCTCACCTTATCTAAAAATCAACTCAAGATGGATCAAGGACTTAAATCTAAGACCTGAAACTATAAAAATTCTAGAAGATAGGCCAGGCGAGGTGGCTCATGCCTGGAATCCCAGCACTTTGGGAGGCTGAGGCAAACAGATCACCTGAGGTCAGGAGTTTGAGACCAGCCTGGCCAACATGGTATAACACTGTCTCTTTAAAAAAAAAAAAAAAAAAAAAAAAAAAAAAAAAAAAAAAAGGCACAATAGACTTTGGGGGCTCAGGGAGAAAGTTTGGGAAGGGGGTGAGAGGTAAAAGACTACAAATTGGCTTCAGTGTATACTGCTTGGGTGACAGGGGCACCAAAATCTCACAAATCACCACTAAAGAACTTATGTAAGCAAATGCCACTGGTTCCCCCAAAAACCTATTGGAAAAAAAAAAAAAAACCCTAAGGAAATTCGAGCACATGTGCATGGAGAGACAAGAACATGAATTGCAGCGTTGTTTCCAATAAGGGAAATCCAGAAAAATCAAGGCATACCCCAGTGGAAATGGGAAGAATATACAGCAACAGTCAGAACAATGGTTATCCCTTGGAAGGGAGGACAAAGCAATGGGGAGGGGAAACAGGACTTTCAGTTGTATCTGTTTTATTTATGAGAAAAGAAAAGAGGGAGGGAGGGAGAGAGAAAGGAGAATTCCTCAGAGGGCGAAAGAAAAAGAGAGAAACACTGAAAACACAGCACATTGTCATAACTGGATTAAATCTGGTTTATGTATATGTAGGAGTTTATGGTGTTATTCTTCTGAGTTGTTTGAAATAGTGCATAACAAAAACGAGCTACTGGGACCATACAAAAAAAATTTACTGCTGCCATAAATAATCCAGGAAGTCAAATTATGAAAACAAAATCAAAAAAACCTTCTTATCATCAAAACATGGCTTACAGCCATATGTAACAGTGTCTTAAAAAGTTGCAGTTTTACAACTTAGAGAAATCCATCATCTAATGTGTTACTCAAAATCGGATATATACAAAGTTTTCTCAGTAGATTTGATGGAGAGTTTCTCTGTTTGCATTAAAAAAAAAGTTTTGTTTTTTTTTTTTAAGTGGAAGTTCTGATGTTGCATATTAAATGCAATTATTTAGTGGGCTATTCAAAGTGATGGTTAACTTGGTGGTTAAAAAGACAATTAGTGGGCTGGGCGTGGTGGTGCATGCCTGTAATCCCAGCACTTTGGGAGGCTGCAAGGCAGGCAGATCACGACGTCAGGAGATTGAAACCATCCTGGCCAACATGGTGAAAACCTGTCACTACTAAAATAAAAAAATTAGCCAGGCATGGTGGCATGTGCCTGTAGTCCCAGCTACTCCGGAGGCTGAGGCAGGGGAATCACTTGAATTTAGGAGGTGGAGGTTGCAGTGAGTCGAGATTGAGCCACTGCACTCCAGCCTGGAGACAGAGCAAGACTGCGTCTCAAAAAAAAAAAAAAAAAAAAGACAATTAGTGAACTAGTCGTTGAGGGCTGTATGTGTGAAGAGGGGTGGGATGCCATCAGAATGGGGTACATTTTCCCCAAATTACAATCCCATCCCACTGTAAGTCACCTATTGTTGATTTTAGTTCTGACTGCTGAGGTGTAGTATCTAGTGAAACAAACTAACAGAGCAATTAATTAGGATTTGGAAGCAAAGGTCCCCAGACTGATTTTTAGGCCAGCATCACATGGCACTCTTTGAATTAATTTCTCACAGATACTCACCCAGATGGAAGAAGGTGATCACTAATTTCCAACCAAGGTGGGTGGTATCAGGAACACAAATGTCTCTAGCCACAGATATCATAGGGTGTATGAATGCAGGACAAGCTCTTAGTTTGAAATTACTTAATCAAAACAAACTACTATACAGTCAAATCTTAGAGGGGGATGTAAGCAGAGATTTTGTAAAAAGAGTATATGTGTTGAGTTCTTTCACCCTTGCTAAACTAAGAAACACATGCTTAAAATCAAATAGTAGTAAAGAAAGTACAACTATGGGCCCAGTTGGGCCACGAAAGTCTAATCATAGCCCCCTGCACACATTCTGCATGCAACTTAGTAAGAAATCAACTCTATCCTGTGAAAACTAAAAACCAGTCATCTCTACTACATACCTACCAGAATGGTTAAAAGAAAAAAAAAAAACTGACATCAAATGCTGATGACAATGAGGAGAAACTGCACTCAAACATTGCTAGTGAGAACTTAAAGTGGTATAGCCACTTTGGAAAAGTTTGGCAATTTCTTACAAAATTAGGCTGGGCTCATGCCTGTAATCCCAGCACTTTGGGAGGCCAAGGTGGGCGGATGACTTGAGGTCAGGAGTTCAAGACCAGCCTGGCCAACATGGTGAAACCCCATCTCTACTAAAAATACGAAAGTTAGCAGGGCATGGTGGCATGTGCCTATAGTCCCAGATACTCAGGAGGCTGAGGTAGGAGAATCGCTTGAGACCAGGAGGCAGAGACCACAGTGAGCCAAGATTGCACCACTGGACTCTAGCCTGGGCAACAGAGCATAACCCTCAAAAAAAAAAAAAAAAAATTAAACATGCACTTACCATATGACTCAGCAATTGCACTCCTGGGCACTTATCCTAGAGAAACAAACACAAGTTAACACAAAAGAGTGTACACTCATGTTCATAGCTGCTGTGTTGATAATAGTTAAAAACTAGAACCAACTCAAATGTCCTTCAATGAGTGAACAGTTGAATATATTTGTATTAGTCCATTTTAACACTGTTGATAAGGACATACCCGAAAGTGAGAAGAAAAAGAGGTTTAATGGACTTACAGTTCCACAGGGCTGGGGAGGCCTCACAATCATGGCAGAAGGCAAGGAGAATCAAGTCACATCTTACATGGATGGCAGCAAGCAAAGAAAGAACTTGTGCAGGGAAACTCCCATTTTTAAAACCATCGGATCTTGTGAGACTCATTCACTATCCGGAGAACAGCACAGGAAGGACCTGCTCCTATAATTCAATCACTTCCCACCTGGTTCCCTCGACATGTGGGAACTGTGGAAGTTACAATTCAAGATGAGATTTGGGTGGGGACAGCCAAACCATATCAATACTGTAGTTCACCTACATTATGGAATGTCACTCAGTAATAAAAAGGAAGGGACTACCGATACATGTAACAATTTGGATGTATCTCAAGGGATTATGCTGAATGCAAAGAGTCAATCCCCAAAAGTTACATGCTGTATAATTACAATAACTACATGCTGTATAGTTACAATAATTTATGTAACATTCTTGGTATAACAAAATTTTAGAAACGGAGAAAAGATTGGGTGGGGCTGCAAAGGGAAGTTGTGGTTACAAAAGGGCAACTGGAGGGACACTTGTGGTTATGGACCTGTGCTGTACCTTGACTGTGGTGGTGGATACAAGAATCTACACACCTGATAATCATATAGAACTAAATACACACAGAAAAATAACAGAAATACAAAACGGGGAATCTGAGATCGATGGATTGTATCAATGTCAATTACCTGGTTGTGATATTGTACTAGCTTTGCAAGATACTACCACTGGGGAGACTGGGTGAAGGGTACACAGAATCTCTATTCCTTTTTTTTTTTTTTTTTCCTTGAGACGGAGTCTCACTCTTGTTGCCCAGGCACTGCAACCTCCGCTTCCTGGATTCAAGCCATTCTCCTGCCCTAGCCTCCTGAGTAGCTGGGATTACAGGCATGGGCCAACACTCCCGGCTTTTTTTTTTTTTTGTATTTTTAGTAGAGACGGGGTTTCTCCGTGTTGGTCAGGCTGGTCTCAAACTCCCGACCTCAGGTGATCCACCCGCCTCGGCCTCCCAAAGTGCATGGGAATCCACAATTATCTCACAAAATTGAATAACCGTCTCTTTTTTTCATCTGTGATCGAAGAAGCAGGCAACATTCTACACTGTTTTAACAAATAAAGCAAACTATGTACCCCTGTTCTGGTGGTAAAATCCTTGGACCATTATAAATGCCATCAGGTTGCAAATGCTTCACTGTGCTAAACACCTGATAACCTTATCTCCCGGTAATCCGCTCAACAGCCCGAAGATTAGGAAGACCTTGCTATCATTCCTAGTTCACAGAGGAGCGTCTGAGGCAAAGAGGTGAAGTGATTTGCTGGAGCCACCTGACCAAAGACTGGAACCAAGATTCTAACAGGCACGTGAAGAACTTCTGTTAATAAATTTGTATCATTCTATTTCTGTTCTGTTCAGAGCCCCATAAAAGAAGTTCAGAAGACTGAGGGCTGTCAGTCTTCCCTGTGACAAAACGCCTTCATGAGGAGCGGGGACCAGGGCCGGACATGGAACGCCCTCTTAGCGGACGCTCCACTCGGAGGGGGCCGAGAAGGGAGACGGTGGGTGCCCAACCCCTTCACCTCCCACAGGCCTCGTGCGGGGGCGGGGCCGAGCGGGAGAAAGAAGCCGCTGGGCCCGCCCTAACGAGAATTTTCACCGTAATCCAGCCCACATTCTCCCGCGGCCTCCATATCGCACGGCGGTGGAAGTCAAGACGCGCGACATGAACGGCCAGGTTTTCAGTCAGCCCAGCGTTGGCGAAGGGCGAGGGCAGAACACAACCACCACCCTCGTCCCGCCCCGCTCGGGGCCTAGCTCCTCTACTCACAGCATTGGACGGAGGGAGGGAGCGAGCCAGACTCCCCGCGTCTGCCGCTCCCTGGCCTGCCCTTCGCCCTCCGCCGCGCGCGCCCATTGGCCACCGCAGCCTCTCCACGTGGGACGGAGGCGCGCGCTTCATTGGACCCCGCGTGAGGGGCGGGCCTAGAATGCGCGGGTCGCCGGCCGTGGAGGGTCAAGTCGTGGCTTCTGAGGGCTGGGGAAGGGCAGCGGGCGCAGGCGATGGTGCCAGCGCTGCGTTACTTGGTTGGTGCCCGCGGACGGGCCCGCGGGGCTTTATTCGGGAGCTTCCCCTGGGCGTGCGGGCCGGCGTCAGGGAGGCCCCGACCGCTGTGTGGGGGTGGCCGCAGCGCCAGCACCAGGTGAGTGGCTGCTCGTCCTCCCCGCCGCTGGCGCTGCTGCCTCTCGCAGAGGCGAATCGTGCTGGACCTGTGTCCCTCTTCCTACTTCCCTGTCCCGGGGTGAGAGCAGGCTGGGGTCCTGTGGAGCTCCAACCTCGCATCGCAGGAGCTGCCACCCTGCGGGTTCATTCGTTGTATGTACGGGCGGGAGGAAAGGCGGTGTATGGAGTAGAGGTCAGGAGTAGCTCTGGCTTGAAACCCGTCCACTTTCTGTTGAACTCTGGTCTAGTCACTTAACCTCCTTGAAGGCTCAGTTGTGACTGGGACCTTAGTCTCTCCAGTTGGTGCTCGTTTGGAGGATAAAAGGACCTAGCACACAGTGTAAGCAATCAAATATAGCTGGCGTCTTTGGGGTTGCTTGGAAGATCTGAATACAGCCTTAGCTCCTGGCAGAGCCCGCATAGAGTTGCCCCTGTCGGAAGCAGCTCGTATGCTAATCAAAGCCCGCAGAATTCAGTGTCCTGTGATGTATAGTTTGGACGTCACATTCGAAACCACTGTCTTTCTCTGCCCTCTGTGGAAGAGAGTTTGTGTGAAGGATGTAAGGCTTGGAGAGGTTTTGGTTATTTTGAGGACTAGAAGGTGGGCCATAGGTGGTGACTGGAGCTTAGTGGAAGGCAGATGGTGTGGAATGACACGGGAGAAGGGCTACATCACAGCAAGGTTTTTATTTTAACCACACGTTGAATTTTATTCTAAGAGCCACGGGAAGCTATTTAAAAGAGTTTTAAGAGGAGGCTGGTGATTAAATGTTGATGTTCTGAAAGTTGATGCTGGCGCTGAGTGTTGGTGGATGGAGGGAGTAGAGTGGGATACTAAAGACAGTTAGTGAACTGGTTGTTAAGGGCTGTAAAGTGATCCTTAAGATTTGAGGAGGGGGAGTGAAGGGTGGCACATGTAGTTGGAAAAAGCACATTCACTATGATAGTTTTATGTTTGAAAGTAAGAGAAATTTATTGATGGTTGTAATATAATCTGCGAAAACAGTATGTTGGCTGGGAATCTGTACAAAGGTAATAATTCTAAGTGGAAGGTCTACCTCCCCAAAAGCTTTTGCGTTACAATTATCAAAAGGCAGCAAGGGGCGGCTCATGCCTGTAATCATAGCATTTTGGGAGGCCGAGGCGGGTGGGTTACCTGAGGTCAGGAGTTTGAGACCAGCCTGGCCAACATGGTGAAACCTCGTCTCTACTAAAAATACAAAAACTCGCCGGGCATGGTGGTGTGCGCCTATAATCTCAGCTACTGGGGAGGCTGAGGCAGGAGTATCACTTGAACCCTGGAGGGGGTGGTTGCAGTGAGCCGAGATCATGCCACTGCATTCCAGCCTGGGCAACGAAGGGAGACTCTGTCTTTTTTAAAAAAAAGAAAAAAAAAAAAACCCAAAAGGCAGGATGAGAAACATTATTATGGAAGTTAAGACCACCCCTCTAAGTGAAGGTTTTGCTACCTTTTAGAGAAAAGTGAGGCTTGAAGGCAAAGCATAACATCATAGTTGAACTTAAAAGAAAAAAAAAACAGTATGAAAGATACCTCTCTGTCGTATATGTGCACTGCCACGATTGATGTAGATATCAACTTGATAAATTTAAAAAATTACAGTCAGTTCTCATTTCTGCATCTGCAGATTCAACCAACTATGGATCAAAAATATTTAGAAAAATGATAAAATTTAATATACAGTGTAACAACTATTCACATAGCATTTACATGGTACTATGTACTATAAGTAATCCAGAGTTGACTTAAAGTATATTGGACAACATGTGTAGATTATATGCAAATACTGTGCCATTTCATATAAAAGACTTGAACATAAGTGGATTTTGGTATCCATGGGAGTCCAAAAACCAATCCCCTGTGGTTATTGAGGGATGACTGTATATAAAATATGATTAAGTCATACACATACAAATGTCTTAAGTATTTGTAAATGTTTTGAACACCTACCTTAGTGGAAGATATAGAGGTTTTGGAAAATAAAAATCCTATCTTAACTAAAATGGTTATTGTTGTGGAATTTTTAAAAGCCAGGATATTTTGGAATCCATAGAAGATCTATTTATTGTGAAAGTTGTGTAAAGGGTCAATGGCTGTAAATCAGTGTAAGTAACTATAGTGGAATGTGAATGCTTTACCTTTTATCTACTGAACTTATGTTTTTTAAAACCTGTTTAAAGGCTTGGATTTCCAAACACACTCTAATCATATTAGTAATGTTTTAGTTGACTACTGTAAGCATATGCCAATAACTAGTATTAACGTTGTGGACCCAGAATCCCATTTTACTTGTGCTGCTCTTTTTACACCCTCTTTTTAAATGTGTGCATTATTCACCATCCTTGACAACCATTTTATCCAGTCTAAAGCTGCTGCAGGAGAGCCACCTGCTGAGCATCACCTAGAGGTTCTCCTTGTTCAAGTTATGAGGCTTATGCACTGACAGAGGGAACTTTATCCACTATGACCCCCAAATTAATTTAAGATGCAGGATTTGATTTGTCAAGCTTATATATGTTCCTAGTTGTCTAGGATCTGTTTCTGCTTCCAGATATAGCCATAGGTGTGGTAACAATTCTAATCAAATTATGTGCTTTGCTAAGGATTTTGAAATTGAAACTTAGATCACTTTTCAAACAAAGGGCCTAATCTCTGAAATTTCCCTCTGTCTACTGTTCCTAAAAGGCTCTTTCTTATTTGTTGACCATCAGGTCAGTGTTAAAGGTAATCTTTTAAGCTTCTAATTGCAGAGTTATATAAATTATACATGCTTGTTCTACATTTTGTAAATGGTTGTATACGCAGGGTTTGCCAAGGCAAAGATTGTGTGGTTCCTAAGCCCATTTCTAGACCAATTATTGCCCCAAGGTTTATGTTCTCAGAGTTGTTTCCTTCTCAAAGAAAAACATGTAAAAATTATTGCACACTAAAGTGTTAAAACTTTAACGTGTTAACACATTGTCAAGAATACTACATTGGAATTTTACAAGAATAGGTAGTAGAAGCATAATTATGCTTAACACAAAGTATAGTCATGAGCTGCATAACATTTTGGTCAACTGCAGACTGCATGTACAGTGATGGTCCCAAAGATTACCATATTTTTATCTGTACCTTTTTTATATTTAGACATTTTTAGATGCACAGATACTTACCATTGTGTTACAGTTGCCTGCAGTATTCAATATAGTAATCTGCTGTACAGGTTTGTAGTCAACGAGCAATAGGCTATACCGTATAGCCTAGGTGTGCAGTAAGCTATGTCATCTAGGTTTGTTTAAGTGCATTTTATGATGTTTGCACAATGGAATCACCTAGCAATGCATTTCCTAGAACCTATCCCTGTGGTTAAGCAATGCATGACTGCAATCACTTATGTAACTAGCCTGGCTGCCATGTTATGGAGATATAGAGCAGATTGGGCAACCAGTTATCTTAACTGCCAGTAAGCTGTAGCTGATTTTGCTACTTCCCAGAGATGCATATAACTAACTTTTAAGGTTTTTTGATGCATATAACTTTTTTTTTTTTTTTGAGATGGAGTTTCGTTCTTGTTGTCCAGGCTGGAGTGCAATGGCGTGATCTTGGCTCACTGCAACCTCCGCCTCTGGGGTTCAAGTGAGTCTCCTGCCTCAGCCCCCTGAGTAGCTGGGATTCCAGGCATGTACCAACATGCCCAGCTAATTTTGTATTTGTAGAGACGGGATTTCTCCATGTTGGTCAGGCTGGTCTTGAACTCCAAACCTCAGGTGATCTGCCTGCTTTGGCCTCCCAAAGTGCTAGGATTACAGGCATGAGCCACCATGCCCAGACTTCTTTATTTTTGAGACAGGATCTGGCTCTGTCTCCCAGGCTGGAGTGCAGTGGCATGACCTCGGCTCATTGCAACCTCTGCCTCCCAGGTTCAAGCGATTCTCCAGCTTCAGCCTCCTGAGTAATTTGGGATTACAGGTACCCACCACAACATCCAGCTAATTTTTGTACTTTATGTAGAGATGGGGTTTTACCATGTTAGCCAGGCTGGTCTTGAACTCCTAACCTCAAGTGATCCACCAGCCTTGGCCTCCCAAAGTGCTGGGATTACAGGCATGAGCCATCATGCCCAGACTTGATTCATATAACTTTTAAGGTTTTTTTTTTTTTTTTTTTTCTTTATACATGTGAAACCAAATAGCACAGGGCCAATACATTTTAATGATTATAAATTAATAATTGTCCATTGATGATGAAAATTATGCATGTGAAGTTTGATGAGGTGTACTGTAAACATGTATTACTTTAAAGATGACTTTCTCTTGAAGCTCATTTGATATAGTCATTGTTGGTGGCGGAATTGTGGGGCTTGCCTCTGCCAGAGCACTCATCCTGCGACATCCATCACTTTCTATTGGTGTTCTGGAAAAGGAGAAAGATTTAGGTATGTATATAATCAGTGTTGTTCTTAGAGCTTACTTGGGCATCTGTTCATTATGTCTGTTCTGAATCTTTCATGTTGAATGGCAATGTTAGTATCTTAGTTTGTGTTCTGAAAGCAGAGTGTGGGACAAGGACGTGGCTATAGGTTATTTAAGAGGTTAAAGCAGAATGTGGGACAAGGACATGGCTATAGGTTATTTGAGAGGTTAAAGCAGAGTGTGGGACAAGGACGTGGCTATAGGTTATTTAAGAGGTTATCTGAGGAAACAGAAGTGAGGGGTTGAGGAAAGTAAGACAGGGAAGGAGGAAAAGTTGTGAGAACACATCATCAAGATTGCTGCTGTGAGCTGGATTCCACTGGAACCCCTGAGGAGCAATGTAATGTTTCCCAGGATTGTGCCCATTTATCCATCAGCTCCTGTCCCTGTTGGTTGAGGATTGCCACTAGTGATGTTGAGCACCCTGTGCCCTTCTCTAAAAAAGTTACCAGAGGCCCTAAGGCAGAGTCCAAAGAGCCCCAATGGGCCCCTGAAGTGGTTTGCTGATTATGGAAGGTGAGTTTGTGCACCAGAGTTGTAGTTGAAATCAGAAGTGGGCTGGAGCGATGTGACCTGGATACCAGGGATGCTGTTAGAAGAAGTTACCAGTGATCTGAACAAATTCAGGCAGAATTTTACTAATAGCTTCAACTATAATGTTTGTTCTCTTCTTATGTTTTGTATGAATCATGTGCATACTCTTACCCTGTTTCTCTTGTTCTGTAGCTGTTCACCAGACTGGACATAACAGTGGTGTCATACATAGTGGAATTTATTATAAACCTGAATCTCTGAAAGCCAAATTATGTGTACAAGGTGCAGCCCTCCTCTATGAATACTGCCAGCAAAAGGGAATTTCCTACAAGCAATGTGGCAAGGTATGGCATTTTACTAGGGCCTTGACTAATTTCCAACTAGCATTTTCTTGGTGATGTTTAATATATTTTTTTTAAATTTGGTGTTTTGTTTCTTTGTATCTATGTAATTTTTGAAGTCTAATATTGGGGAATAACTAAAAAAAGATGATGTGACTTTATGTAATTTTCTAAATAAAAGTTTTATTGACATATAATGTATGCACCGTACAATTCACTCTTTTAAAGTACACAGATCAGTTTTTAGTATATTCACAGAGCTGAGCAATCATCATCTAATTAATTTAGACTTTTTCATCACCCCAAAAAGAAATCCCATACCCATTAGCAGTCACTCCCCATTTCCACCTCCCCTGATGCCCTAGCAACCAGTAATATACTTTCTGTCTTTGTGGATTTGCCTGTTCTACACTTTTCATATAAATAGATTCATATACTATGTGGTCTTTTGTGACTGGCTTTTTTAACCTAGCGTAATGTTATCAAAGTTCATTCATGTTGTAGCATGAATCAGTACTTCATTCCTTTTATGGCTGAACAATATTCTGTTGTATGGATACACACCACACTTTGTTTATTTGTTCATCAGTTGATAGATCTATGGATTGTTTCCACCTTTTGGCTATTATGAATAATGCTGCTATGAACATTCATGTACAAGTTTTTGTGTGAATATTTGTTTTCGTTTATATTGGGTATGTACTTGGGAGTGGAATTGCTGAGTTGTCATGGTAACTCCATGTTTAACATTTTGAGGAACTGCCAAACTGTTTTCCAAAGCTCTGTACTATTTTACATTCTCACCAGTAATCAGGATTCCAATTTTTCCATGTGCTTGCCAACATATATTTTTACTGCGTCTTTTTTATTGTAGCCATCCTGGTGGAAGTTTTAATTTGCAGTTCTCTAATGATATGATGTTGAGTGTCTTTTATTTTTTCCATTTTAGAAAATACTTCTCTATTTTCTAAATATTAGCCAGGTACTGTGGCTCATGCCTTTAATCCCAGCACTTTGGAAGGCCAAGACAAGAGGATCACTTGAGCCCAAGAGTTAAAGACCGGGTCAGGTAACATAGTGAGACCCCATCTCTACAAAAAATTTAAAAAGCCGGGTGTGGTGGTGCACACCTGCAGTCCTAGCTACTTGGGAGGCTGAGGTGGGAGGATTACTTCAGCCTGGGAGGTTGAGGCTTCAATGATCCATGATCGTGCCACTGCATTCCAGCCTGGGTGACAGAGGGAGACCTTGTCTCAAAAAAATAAAAATTAAAAAAATAAAATTATAATTTTTTAACCTTATTTCTTATTTAAAAGTTGAGACAGGATCTTGCTTTGTAGCCTAGGCTGGTCTCAAACTCCTGGCTTCAAGCAGTCCTCCTGCCTTGGCCTCCTAAACTGCTGGGATTACAGGTGTTAGCCACTGTGTCCAGCCTAAAATTATTTTTTAATTGACACAAAGTTTATATATTTATCACGCACAATATGTTGTTTTGAAGTATGTGTACATTGTGGTTTGGGCACAACGGCTCATACCTGCCTGTAATCCCGACACTTTGGGAGGCTGAGGTGGGCAGATCACTTGAGATCTAGAGTTTGAGTCCAGCCTGGCCAACATGGTGAAACTCTGTCTCTACTAAAAATCCAAAAATTAGTTGGGTGTGGTAGTACATGCCTGTAATGAGAATTGCTTGACCCTGGGAGGCAGAGGTTGCTGTGAGCTGAGACTGCACCACTGAAGTCCAGCCTGGGTGACAGAGTGAGACTCTGTCTCCAGAAGTATGTGTATATTGTGGATTGGCTAAATCAAGCTAACACATGTATTACCTTTCATACATTTTTTTTTATGATGCAGACCCTTAACTCTCTGAGCAGTCTTCAAGAATATAATATGTTATTAACTATAGTCAACATTTTGCGTAATAAATATCCTGAACTTATTCCTCTTACTTAACTGAAATTTTGTGTCCTTTAACAAATATCTTTCCACACCACCCCCACCTCCCTGGCGCCCCCAGCCCCTGGCAACCACCATTCTTCTCTCTACCTCTTTTGAATTCAACTTTTTGAATTCTACATATAAACGAGATCATGCAGTATTTATCTTTCTATGCTTGATTTCACCTAAGATAATGTTCTTCAGGTTCATCTCTGTTGTCATTTGTGGCATGGATCATTTGTGACAATATAGATGAACCTGGAGGATGTTTCTCCTTATCTTAAAGATTTCCTCCTTTTTTAAAGGCTGAGTGGTATTTTGTGGCGTATATATACACATTTTCTTTTTCCGTTCATCCATCAATGGACACTTAGGTTGATTCCATATCTTGGCTCTTGTGATTAATGCCTCAGTAAACGTAGGAATTCATGTATATTTTTGACGTACTGATTTTATTTTCTTTGGATATATACCCACCAGTAGGATTGCTGGATCAGTGTTGAGCATATTTTTATGTGCTTTTTAGCCATTCATGTAGCTGCTTTGAATAAATGTCTATTCAAATCTTTACCCATTTAAAAATTGGGCTATTTGTCTTATTATTGAGTTATACATCTTCTTTACATATTCTTGATACAATATATCAGCTATGTGATCTGGAATATTTCATACTATTCCGCAGGCTTTCTTTTTTACTTTCTTAATGGTGTCCTTTGAAGCATTAAAGTTTTAAATTTTGATGAAGTCAAATTTATCTTTTTTTCTTTTGTTGTTTGTGCTTTTAATCTAAGAAACAATGCCTAACACTAGATTATAAGGATTTTCTCCTATGTTTTCTTTTAAGAGTTTTGCAGCCTAAGCTTCTGCATTTAGATCTATGATCACCTTTTTGTTGTTGTTTTGTTTTGAGTTAGGATCTCACTCTTTTAGCCAGGCTGGAGTGCAGTGGTGCAATCTCAGCTCACTGCAGCTTCCTCCTCCTCCTCCTCCCAGGCTCAAGTGATCCTCCCACCTAAGCCTCCTGAGTAGCTGGGAGCTCAGGCATGTACCCCCATGCCTGGCTAATTTTTGTAGAAATAGGGCTTCACCATGTTGCCCAGGCTGGTCTTGAACACCTAAGGTCAAGGAGTCCACCCAAAGTGGTGGGATTACAGGCAGTTTTTTCGAGGATTTTTATTATGTAGAGAAGAATGTTGAGTTTTATCAAATACTTTTTCAGCATCAATTGAGATGATCATATGGGTTTTTTTTGTTGTCATTTGTTTGGTATTTTTTGTTCATTTTTTGAGACAGAGTCTCAAAAGCTACCTTGGCCACACCCAGGGTGGTGTGCACTGGTGTGATCTTGGCTCACTGCAACCTCTGCCTCCCAGGTTCAAGAAATTTTCCTGCTTCAGCCTCCTGAGTAGCTGGGATTACAGGCATCTGCCGCCACACCTGGCTAATTTTTGTATTTTCAGTAGAGATGGAGTTTCACTATGTTGTCCAGGCTGGTCTCGAGTTCCTGGCCTCAGGTTGTCTGCCCAAATTGGCCTCCCAAAGTTTTGAGATTACAAATGTGAGTCACCATGCCTGGCCTGATGATATATTTTTTGTCCTTCATTCTGTTGATATGATGTGTCACATTGATTTATTTACATATGTTGAACCATCCTGGCATCCCTGGGTTAAATTCCGCTTGATCACGATGAATCATCTTTTTAATGTGTTGTTGAATTTGGTTTGCTAGTATTTGGTTAAGGATTTTTGTGTCAGTATTCATCAGGGATATTGGACTATAGTTTTCATTTTTTTGACCTGCCTTTGTCTGGTTTGGGTATCAGGGTAATACCAGTCTCATGGAATGTGTTTGGAATTATTTCCTCCTCCTCTATTTACTGGAATGGTTTGAGTAGGGTTTGGTATTAGTTCTTCTTTAAATGTTTGGTAAAATTTAGCAGGGAAGCCGTCAGGTCCTGGGCTTTTCTTTATGGGGAGACTTTTTATTATGGCTTTGATCTGATTGCTTGTTATTGGTTTGTTCAGGTTTTGGATTTCTTCATGGTTCAATCTTGGTAGCTTGTACATGTCCAGGAATTTATTCATTTCTTCTAAGTTTTCTAATTTATTGGCGTATATAGTTTGTCATAGTAGCCTTTAATAATTTTTTGAGTTACTGTGGTGTTGGTTGTAATGTCTCCTTTTTCATCTCTGATTTTATTTATCATGTCTCTTTTTTTCTTAGTCTGGTTAAAGGTTTTTATCTTTTCAGAAAAGCAACCTTTTATTACATTAATCTTTTGTATTTGTTTCAATTTCATTTATTTCTGCTCTTTATTTTTTATTTCATTTATTTCTGCTCTTCTAATTTTGAGTTTGGTGTGCTCTTGCTTTTCTAGTTCTTTAAGGTATATTGTTAGATTATTTGAAGTTCTTCACTTTTTTGATGCAGGTGCTTAGAGCTATAAACTTTGCTCTTACTACTGCTTTTGCTGTTTCCCATAGATTTTGATATGTTGTGTTTCTGTTTTTACTTGTTTCAACTTCTTAATTTTTTCATTGAACCACTGGTCATTTAGGAGCATATTGGTTTTGTTTGCTTGTTTGTTTATTTTTTGAGACACAGTCTCGCTCTGTCACCCAGGCTGGAATATAGTTACACTATCACAGCTCACTGCAGCCTTGACCTCCTAGGCTCAACTAGTCCTCCCACCTCAACCTCTGGAGTAAAGGGGATCACAGATGCACCACCATGCCTAATTTTTTTTTTTTTTTTTTTTTGAGACGGAGTCTTGTTGTCATGCAGCCTGGAGTGCAGTGGTGCCATCTCAGCTCACTGCAACCTCCGCCTTCTGGGTTCAAGCAGTCTCCAGCCTCAGCCTCCTGAGTAACTGGGACTACAGGCACGTGCCGCCATGCCTGGCTGATTTTTGTGTTTTTAGTAGAGATGGGGGTTTCACCATCTTGGCCAGGCTGGTCTCGAACTCCTGACCTTAAGTGATGAACCCATCTCAGCCTGCGATTACAGGCGTGAGCCATCATGCCCATTCCTGACCTTTTTTTTTTTTTTTTTTTTCCCCTCTAGTTAGGGTCTCTCTGTGTTGCTCAAACTGGTCTCAAACTCCTGGGCTCAAGTGATCCTCTCACCTTGGCCTCCCAAAGTGTTGAGATTACAGGTGTGAGCCGCTGCGCCTGGGCAGCAGCATATTGTTTAATTTCTATATGACTGTATAGTTCCCAAAATTTCTTTTATTATTTTTAGGTTTATTCCATTGTGGATATTGATATAATTTTATTTTATTTTTTTGAATTTTTAAACACCTGTTTGGTGGCCTGATGTATGGTCTGTCCTTGAGAATGATTCATGTGCTGGGGAGAAGAATGTATATTCTGTGGCTGTTGGATGAAACACTCTGTAAATATCTATTAGGTCCATTTGGTCTGTGGTGCTTGGTAGTTTATTCTTTGTGATGCTTTTGTGAGGAGAATTGTTTGACCTTTGTGAACTCATTTTGTTCTAATTGTGTGTGTGTGTGTGTGTGTGTGTGTGTGTGTGTGTGTGTGTGTCTGTGTGTGTCTGTCTGTGAATTCCTTAGGCTTTACTATATGCAGGATCATGTCATCTGCAAATAAGTTAATGTTACTTCTTTTCCAATTTAGATGTCTTTTACTTAATTATTCTGCTTGACTTCCACGGGTTGAAGCTCCAATACTGTGTTGAACAGAAGTAGTAAAAGTGGACCTTCTTGAATTGTTCTTGATCTAATGGAGAAAACATTTAATCTTTTGCTGTTAAGTATGATGTTCACTGTGGATTCTCTTGATTGGATTAAGGAACTTCCTTTCTATTTCTAGTTTTTTGAGTGTTCTCTGTCATGAAAAGGTGTTGAATTTTCTCAAATGCCTTTTCTGTTTCTATTGAGGTGATCATTTGGTTTTTATCCTTAATTCTATTAATGTAGTGTATTAATACATTTTTGGATATTAAATTGACTGCATTCCTGTGATAAATCCTACTTGGTCATGGGGTATAATCCTCTTTATATGTTGCTGCATTCAGTTTAGTAATATTTTGTTCAGGGTTTTGTATTAATATTTATAAGGGATATTGGTCTGCAGTTTCTTTAGATGTCTGGTTTTGGTAAGAGGCAAAAGATTTTATTATTCTTAAGAGAAACCAGAACATTGGTTTTAGTATCAAACTAATATTGGATTCACAGAATTAGTTGGGAAGTGATTCTTACTCTTCTGTTTTTTGGAAGAGTTTATGAAGAATTGGTAGTATGATTATTTTTTAAACATCTAGTAGCATTTGTGAATAAAGCCCTTGGGCCTGAGCTGCTTTTTTTTTTTTTTTTTTTTTTTTGAGAAGGAGTCTGGCTCTGTCGCCTAGGCTAGAGTGCAATGACGCAATGTCAGCTCACTGCAACCTCTACCTCCTGGGTTCAAGCGATTCTCCTGCCTTAGTCTCTGAAGTAGCTGGGATTAGAGGCGCCTGCCACCACGCCTGGTTACTTTTTATATTTCTAGTAGAGACAAGGGTTTCACTGTGTTGGCCAGGCTGATCTTGAACTCCTGACCTAGTGATCCACCTGCCTCAGCCTCCCAAAGTGCTGGGATTTCAAGCGTGAGCCAACACACCCGGCCCTTTTTTTTTTTTTTTAAATTTGGGAAGTTTTCAATCTCTGTGTTATAGGTCTATTAAGTTTTTCTTCTCGAATCAGTTTCAGAAGTTTGTGTCATTCTAAGAATTTTGTTCACTTCATCTAGATAAAATTTGTTGCCATACAGTTGTTCATCGTATTCTTTTATAGTCTTTTTATTTCTGCAATGTTGGTAGTCATGTCCCTTCTTCAGATAAGTGTTTTGTTGTTTTTGTTTTGTTTTTGAGACAGGGTCTCACTTTGTCACCCAGGTTGGAGTGCAGTGGCGCAATCTTGGCTCCCTATAGCCTTGACCTCCTGAGCGCAAGCGACCTTCCCACCTTACCCCGCTAGTAGCTGGGACTACAGGTGCTCACTACCACACTCAACTAATTTTTTTGTTTTTTGTTTTTTTGTAGAGACAAGGATTTGCCATGTTTCCCAAGGCTGTTTTTGAACTCCTGAACTCAAGTGATCCTCCAGCTTCAGCCTCTCAAAGTGCTAGGATTACAGGCATTAGCCACTGTGTCTGGCCCGTTTAATTTTAAAGAATAAAAGCTCATTGTCACCATTAAAGATTCTGTGAGGCCAAGCATGGTGGCTCATGCCTGTAATCGTAGTACTTTAGGAGACTGAGGTGGGTGGCTCACCTGAGGTCAGGAGTTCAAGACCAGCCTGGCCAAGATGGTGAAACCCCATCTCTACTAAAAATACAAAAATTAGCTTGATGTGATGGCGGGTGCCTGTAATCCCAGCTACTCGGGAGGCTGGGTCAGGAGAATTGCTTGAGTCTGGGAGGTAGAGGTTGCAGTGAGCCGAGATTGTGCCATTGTACTTCAGCCTGGGTGACAAGAGCAAAACACCATCTCAAAAAAAAAAAAAAAGATGCCATGAAAAATTGTAGGGCCAGACTCAGTGGCTCATTCCTGTAATTTTAGCAGTTTGGGAGACCAAGATAGGCAGATTGCTTGAGCCCAGGAGGTTAAGACCAGTCTAGGCAATGTAGTAAAATGCTGTCTTTAATAAAAGTACAAAAAATAGCCAAGTGTGGTGGCACATCCCTGTAGTCCCAGCTTCTAGGAAGGCTGAGGTAGGAGAATCACCTGAGCTTGGAAAGTTGAGACTGCAGGGAGTCACGAATGGGCCACTGCACTACAGCCTAGGTGATGGGAGTGACACTCTATCTCAAATAACTAAATAAATGAATAAATAGATAGAAATATAAACAATAGAAACAATTTTTTTTAAGAGACAGAGTCTTGCTCTGTTGCCCAGGCTGGAGTGCAGTGGCACAATCACAGCTCACTGCAGCCTCAAACTTAGGGGCTCAAGTGGTCCTCTTGCCTCAGCCTTTGAAGTAGCTTGGATTGTAGACATGAGCCCCTGTGCATGGCCATATTTTAAAAAATAATTTAGTAAAATGGGCCTGACAGAATCTTAAGTGAAAAGGGCAAGATATAAAAGTCTAGTTACAGTTTTTATCATTGTAATTGTTGTGAGAGTTCTTTATCTATTCTAAATAGTAGACCTTTGTCAACTATATGTTTTGCAGATATTTTTTCCCATTGTGTGGGTTGTCTTTTCACCTACTTGATAGAGTCCTTTGATTCCACTTCTGTTTTTAAGGTTAACTATTTATTGATTTAAATAGCCTTTGCACCTTGATTAAAAGTGTCACCTCATGAAATTCTGTTGACTTTTTGGTATGAAATAATGACTTGTGAATTCCAACGTACCTCTGAATATGCACCTGTGTTTTCCTTTGCTCTTTCCCTTAAGTAAGGAGGAAAGTTATTTTTCCCAGAAATAAATAGAAAAGAAAGAAGTTGACAAATTTACTGTTTTCCCTCTGCAGCAGAATGCATTAGTGAATACAATGTATTCCAAAAATAAAAAGGATTGTTTTGTCAGTTATATTCAATTACACTGAATACCAGCTGTCTTTATGATGTGCTGATATTTTACATTTTCCTGAAGAAATAAGAAGGCCATTCTGTTTTGGGGGAAAAAAAAATGTAAAACTCAAGCAACTTATCCTTCTCTCTCCTTTGGGATTGAGAATGTGGTAGTGGTAAGAGTTACTTATGGCCAAGATGCACATGGGGACTATGATAACAGAAGTGGAAATTGAGCCTACGTTTCATTTTTAGGGAAAATTTGTTTTAATGCCATGTTCTTAAGACAACTTTTCTTGGTGGAAGAAGAAAATAGTCATGAAGAAAGTAAGAATTAGATATGTGAAGAAAAAGTCATTTTAAAAAATAACCTTGGCCAGGCACGGTGGCTCACGCCTGTAATCCCAGTACTTCGGGAGGTGGAGGTGGGCAGATCACCTGAGATCAGGAGTTCGAGACCAGCCTGACCAACATGGAGAAACCCCACCTCTACTAAAAATACAAAATTAGCCGGGCATGGTGGCATACGCCTGTATCTCAGCTACTCGGGAGGCTGAGGCAGGAGAATTGCTTGAACTTGGGAGGTGGAGGTTGTGGTGAGCTGAGATCGCACCATTGCACTCCAGCCTTGGCAACAAGAGTGAAACTCTGTCTCCAAAAAAAAAAAAAAATTAAATTAAAAATTAAAAAAATAACCTTGTTTGGGTCATACAATAGTTGATGGTTTTTCATTGACTTTATCTTTCATCACTGATGATACCTGCACCTCTATCCATGCTCCTTACCTTTTTTTTTTTTTTTTTTTTTTTGCAGCTTATAGTAGCTGTTGAACAAGAAGAAATTCCGAGACTTAAGGCTCTATATGAGAGAGGCCTGCAGAATGGTGTCCAGGGCCTGAGGCTGATCCAGCAGGATGATATAAAAAAGAAGGAGCCATATTGTAGGGTAAGTGATTAACCAGCTTCATGCACATGTTCAAAGGGATGTTTTCATTTAGGGCTTAGTCCTGTGATATGGAGGCTGAGAGGTGAGTTTATAGGAGGCAGGAATAATATAAAATCAGATAGATGATCCTGTCACAGATATAGTGAAGTGATAGACAAAAGAGGGCATTGCCACAAAGTCTGGACACCTGATTTCTTTCTCTGTGAGAAAATACCAGGTCTGACCAACATGAACAAAGATAGGAGGCCTGAGGCCATATGGCATGTTTGGAAAACATGGAGCAATAAGGTGTGGTTGGGAGCATTGGGTGATATATGACAAAAGATAAGGGATGAGACTGGAAAGTCAGGGTTAGGCCCACATAAAGGGCTTGGCATTCAGCCTTACCCTGCCTATAATAAAAATCAGACACTATAGCTGCCTCCTGGTTAAGATGGATAAGGCTGGCATGAGTTTGAAGAGTAGCTTGTAGAATATCTTCCTTAAAACTTGCCATAGGGAAGAAAACCAGATCTTTATTCATGAAAGAGACATGAATAGTAATATAATAGTTATTCTGCATGTTAACTTTCACTGATAGCCTTTCAGAGACTATTAGTCCAACTTCCCAGTTCCACTGACTGTTCTAATGAATGGCCAATTTTTCCTGTAGGTAGAAATTTAACTGTTCCAATAGCTGGACTCCAGAATCCTGTCTCAGAGAATGTGACCTTGAACTCACTATCAGGCAATGCTTTTTAACTTGGTTTAGAGAAACATGGGAAATAGGCTGAAAAATATGTAGACTATTAGACCATTTATTTGTTCATATACATCTCTCAGATGGCATGCCTACACTGCAGTGTTTTGCCTTCCCCATTCTACTCCTTGACCCCAGTTACTGTCTTTGAATTGTGCTTTGGTTTTATGGCATCAGCCTATAAGAAGGTCATTGTATCAGTCACTGTGGCCTCTATTGTAAGGATGCAGTTGAAGACGTAAGTTATTCAACTGTGTTAAATGACATCTTGCTCTGAGAACCTGCAGGAGAAATTTCTCTCAGATCTTAGTTCTGAGAATAATTTTAGTCTTCCTAACCAGAGTTGGTTTGTTTTTATCTTATGGACACTGAGTAATTTAACTGATTGCTTTGCCCTGTTTACCGTGACTGCAGGGATGCTCAGAGACACATTTGTGCCGTACTCCTGCCAGATAACTGGTGCCTTAAGCATAAATTTTTATTTGTGTATACTAACTTTTCTCTTCAGTTTGTCTTATCTTTCCATCCTCCTTTTCTGTATAGCCTAGTTTCTTGGAACTATAATGTACAATGGAAATCATAAATGGATAGCTTAGTGAATGTTCACCAAGTGTGATCAGTACCCAGGACAACAAACAAATGTTACCGACCTCCCAGTACTCCCCTCATGTTCTTCCACTAGGACATTGCTCTTAAGGATAACCACTGTCCTGACCTCTTACATCATAGGTGATTGAATTTTAAGTAAGTAGAATGATATGATATGTATTCTTTTGTGTCTGAGCTTTTTTTTTTTTGAGACAGGGTTTTGCTCTGTTGCCCAGACTTGAATGCAGTGGCACAGCATTATCATAGCTCACTATAACTTTGAACTTCTGAGCCCAAGTAATCCTCCCACTTCAGCCTCCTGAGTAACTGGAACAATAGGACTGTGCTACCATACCCAGCTAATTGTTTTTATTTATTTTTAATTTTTTTGTAGAGACAAGGTCTCGCTATGGTACCCAAGCTGGTCTTGAATTCCTGGGCTCAAGTGATCCACCCATCTTGGCCTCCCAAAGTGCTAGGATTACAGTTGTCAGAAACCATGCCCAACTGTGTCTGGGTTTCTTAATATTGTTTATGAAATTCATCCATATTGTTACATATATTTGTAGTTTGTTGTTGTTGCTGTATAATACGTCATTCATATGTATGTATGTAGAACGATTCATTCTACTGTTGATGGGCATTTGGATAGTTTCTAATTTGGGATTCTTCCAGATAATGCTGCTATGAAAATTCTAGTACATAGGTTTTGGTGAGCACACATACACATTTTTATTGGCTGTATACCTATGAAGGAACTTGCCAATTTGCAATTTATGGATATGTTTAGCTTTGGCAGGTATTGCCAAAGAGTTTTCCAAAGTGTTTGTCCCCATTTATACTCTCATTAGCAGTATATGAGAGTTCCAGTGCTCTATATCCTCAACTAACACTTGGTGTTGCTTATTGTTTTTATTTTAGCCATTCTAGTGGGTATGTTGTAGTATTATATTATGATTTTAATTTATATTTTCTCATAGACTCATACATTTATGCACCTTTGTATGTATTTATTGACCATTTGGATATTTTATTTTGTGAAGTATCTGTTTGAGTTCTTTCCCCACCTTCGTATTGGGTTGACTGTCTTTCTTATAATTATTAATTCTTACTCAATTTTAGGACATATGTAGTGTGGATATGAGTCTTTCGTTGGAGAGATATATATACATATATATATATATGATATGTATACACACAAAAAAACTATCACAGATACCTTCTACCACTCTGTAGCATGTCATTTTACTCTTTTTTTTTTTTTTTTGAGATATAGGGTCTCACTCTGTCACCCATGCTGGAGTGCAGTGGTATGATCACAGCTCACTGCAATCTTGAACTCCTGAGCTCAAGCGATCTTCCTGCCTCACCCTTCTGAGTAGTTAGGACTACAGGTGTGTGTCACCACACCCAGCTAATTTTGTATTTTTATATTTTTGCAGAGATGGGGTCTTGCTATGTTACCTAGGCTGATCTCGAGCTCTATGGCTCAAATGATCCTCCTGCCTTGACCTCTGGAAGTACTGGGATTGCAGCATTTCACTTTTTAAATATCGTTTTTAGATTAACAGAAATTCCTAATCTTAATGTTACCAATTTATGCATATGTTTGTCTTTTATGCTTAGTGTTTCTTTGTGCTCTAGTTAAATTTTCTGGATGCATTCAAAAACTTGGTACGAAAAATAAAATAGAAAAAAAAAGAAATCTTTACCTAGCCCAAGGTCTGGAAGATATTCTATGTGTTTTTCTAAAAGCTTTACTGCTTTACCTTTCACATTTAGATCTGCAGTCCATTTGGAATTGATTTTCGTAGATGGTATAAGTTAGGGGCCAAGGTACATTTTTTTCCCCATATGGATATCCAGTTGAGTCAGCATCATTTATCAAAAGAACCATTATTTCCCCACTGTGCTGCAGTATAGCCTTTATGATATCAGATATATGGTGGGTATATGTCTGGACTCCATTGTGTTCCATTGCCTCTTCTGTGCTACTACCATAATGTTTAATTATAGTAGCCTTTTTTTTTTTTTTTTTTTTTGAAATGGGGTCTTACTCTGTCACCCAGGCTGGAGTGTGGTGATATTATCACAGTTCACTGTGGCCAGCTAATTTTTAAATGTTTTGTAAAGACAGAGTCTCACCATATTGCTTAGGCTGATCTTGAACTCCTGGGCTCAGGTGATCTTCCTGCCATGGCCTCTGAAAGTGCTAGGAGTAGATGCATGAGCCACTGCACTTAGCGTATAGTAGCTTTTTAATAGGTCTAGGTATCTGGTAGAGTAAGGCCTTGAGTTTTTTTCTTCAACATTGTCTTGGCTATTCTTAGATCTTTACATTTTTACATAAATTTTAGAGTTTATTTGCCAAACTCTACAAGATAACCTGTTATGATTTTGATTGAGATTGCATTCAATTTGTATGTCTATGTGGAGACAATTTACATCTTTGTAGTATGGAGTCTTCCAGTCCTTGAATATCATACATCCCTCCATTTGTCTGGATCTGCTTTAATTTATTACATAATGTATTATAATTTTCAGAATAGAATTCTTGCATGGCATATGTCTCTTACATTTACAGCTCCAATTTGTATTTGATGTTTTCTGATACTCTCATGAATAGTATTGATATTTAAAGTTCATTTTTTGTTTGTTGCAGGTCTGTGGAAATACAGTTGAGTTCTGACCTTGTATTCAATTTTCTAGTTAAATTCACTTATTGTTTTTAATTAATTTGTCTATAAATTCTTTTGGATTTTTATACCCAGACATTTTATCTGCAAATAATAATTATTTTATTTCTTCCTTTCTGATTCATATACTTGGCTGACCCATTGTTTAATGCCAGTTTATATGCGTTTTTCATTTATTTTTACAAGCTGCTTCATCCTTTCAGCTTTTCCTTTATTTCTGGCTGTAAAGTTAAAGTTGGGTCAAAATAAGCAAGATTTTCTTAATTCATGTAAAGCTCCTAAGAAGCTGATAGTATCTAGGAATCTAAACAGTGTTGAATGAGTTCTTCCTGTAGAGAGGGTTGTAGCATCTTCATCTTCAACAAGCCACCTATTCCTTTTCTGGTACCAGCCAGGATAATCAAATTATTTTGCTTGTGGGATACACTAGGTCTTGCTACTTCCCTTTTCTCCCCTCAGATATTTCTTATCTGTCAGAGACAGTAAATTAATGACTGATTTGTTTTTAAGTAGAATATTTTCATTGACCATCTTATTTTGGCCACCTGCCTATTTCACACTCTGGGCAAATTCTAAATGGTCAGAGTTGGCAAATTCTGTCCTGTAGGCCAAATTCATCCTGCCACCTGTTTTTGTATGGCCTGAAAGCTAATGTTTTTTACCTTCTAAGTGTGTTAAAAAAATTAAAAGAAGAACATTATTTTGTGATGAATTAAAATTTTATGAAATTCAGCAGGGCATGGTGGTGTATGCCTGTAATCCCAGCCACTCGGAAGGCTAAGACAGGAGAATTGCTTGAACCTGGGAGGCGGAGGTTGCAGTAAGTAGAGACTGGGCAACTGCACTAAAGCCTGGGTGATGGAGCAAGACTCTGTCTCGAAAAAAAAAAAATTATATGAAATTCACATTTCAGTGTCCATAAAGTTTTATTGAAATACAACTTTACATATTCATTTATGTATTGTCTGTAGCTGCTT